GGAGGGGGAGGGGGTATAGATACTGATCGTCCCAGCTCAACCCCGGCTAGATTAGTCGGACCTGCTAGGTGACTCCGGAGGCGGAGGCCCCATTCCCACTTTGACTTTGACGCCGACGCCGAAGCCAGGTGGACCTGACGAAAGCGCCATGGCCGGAGCTGCCGTACATGGCCTGTTGGCATTGTGTTGGAAATGGGTTTTTGTTGTTGCGGTTGTTATGCTGGTTGCGGTTGTTGTGTGTACGACAAGGCAAACCCTGGAAGAGACGGTGCGGCAACGGCGAGGAGGAGGGGCCCGTTATCTCGGCAGTACGACAAACACAGAAGTGCGAAAGGCTGGCAGAGGAGTTGTTGTGCGGAGCGTTGGGATGAGCAGTGAGTTGAGAGGGGGGGAGGGAAGGAGGGAGGAGGGAGGGGCGGGGGAACTTGCAGAAGGCTGCCTATAGGGCATTCAGGGCCATGTCTGTACAGAGAACACTGGGAACACTGACATCTGTCCTTTCTCAACAGTAGCTGCAATGAATGCGATCAGAAATCAATGGCTACATTCTAATCCACAATATGGTTCCGGAGCGAGGGCGATTTCGCGGAAAAACGGAAATGATGGCCGGATTGAGCCTGTGGCGTGTTTGGCGTTTTCACCAGTCCAATACGCGGATGCCGCTGCCTGAATGACTCAGCCTTGCGGGAAATGGTCTGGCGCGCGGAGAATTTCGGGGGGAATATTTGCCCCCAAAGCTGGAAGGCTTCCGGGAGATTCTGAACTCAGAACAGCTCGGAAGAGGTGTACGGAACGTTAGCTGGATTGCAGGGGTACGACAGACAGGGCCTAAACCAAGGCGTAAATTTTATATCCCGTGCTTTGAATGTGCGCGGTGGTGCCTCTTCCTTTTTTTCTTGGAGCGAGTTGGAAAGAGTTGAAGCAAGGGCCTATAACTCACCTGGCCGCAGTGCCGACGTCGGTGGCCACCGCAAGCTTGGCCAGTGCCCGTGACATGGGCATGCTAGCTTCACTCTAAGCGCAAGGGAAGGAGGGCATGGGTTGCGTAGTTGACCAGCCGATTCGCTTCGAAGATGCACCGGTTGAGCCACCGCAGAGACATGCCCTAACAAGGTATTTCCTCACCAAGATGCTTATTTATATTGCTGTTGCTTAATTATAGTTACGCTCAAGGCAAAACAATTGGATTATGATATCCAAGTCGCAACGCACCTTCGCTACCATTTATCGCCTGATAGCTCAAGTGAACATTTATTTCTACATTATAAGCAAGCTTGAATCGATGGCTAAAGAAGCATTTTGCGGAAGTGCGCGCTGGACACGGTTATTATATGTCTTCAGTATTGGCAGCAAATCGACAGCGCCTTAACAGGTGTGTGAATTCACTAAATGTGTTAACGTGATGATGCTTTATCTTACAGATAGGGAGTTTTTAGCAATACAGAAGGGGAAGGACAAGGGATGACTATTGGAAAGTTACAGGTAGTTGCGGTACCCAACTTCCAAGCGCACAGCCCAAAGCAGACGGCAAATGAATTTTATGTAAGAGTAAACAACTGGAAAAGCAACCCGGGCTCATAATAACTTGCAGAAACGTTCCACCTGCGACCCGTGGGTTCCGGTCTCCGGGGTGCAGAAAAACTTGGAGCGGAAAATAAATGCGGGCTCAACATGTATTACCAACATAAATATTACTCATCATTTTAATCAGCCAATCCACATAACACCCAGTCAAGCCGGTTCGAGGCACTTGATGATGACGCCTTTGCCTCCGATCGTAACACGAAACGGGCACAATAGCTCCGAACGTACACTTCTCGGAGGGTTCCCCCACTCAAATCAAATCGTACGGCATCCTCAAGTCCACCCAGGAAAACGGCCGCGTTGTGGCCATAGGCCACGGCATGGCTTGTGGGGGGAGGTCCAGAACCGCTTTCCCTTGTTACTCCTCCCCCGAGAAGCCACCACCAATACAACAGCTCTAATCAACAGCAGATGTTCTGCTTGCTTTGTTTGCGCCAAACCGCTCTATGTTAAGTATTTGCAGACACGCGGAGAATGGCGCCCGTTCAGAGGATTGCCTCGCCCCCTCGCTTGTCACGCACATCCCTTTTGCCGTAAATATACGTTACAAGTTGTACAAGTTCCGTACGCAGGAGGCACCCCCGTCCTAAAATCTGGGGTGGGCACCATTAATTGTCCTTTTATTGAAGCACCGAGTGGGGATATGGGCATCTGCTGCAGCCGGGCTCGACGCGCCTGAGCCTGAGCTTGAACCGGCTACTGGTCTCTCCAACCCGTGAGCGCCAACTTACTATGTACCCTATTTATCATGTGTTTATATGTCATGTCTACTTCTTCCACACACTTCTGCAACCAGAAGCCGCCGGGGCCTCGCTGCTCGCTGTGCAGCGCCTCTAAGATCTGCCCCGCCCCGCCCCGCCCCGCCCCCCCCCCCGCCCTTGAACTTACCTAAACAATACGACGTACATACGCGCACACGTGTACGTGTCTACGGAATTTTGGACGACAGTGAGAAAGCAATAAGAACGCAAGTGCCCCGTGCTCTCGTGGGCCACACTTATCCGTTTTAAAGTCCGTTTTACACACACGCGCACATGCAACTGACTTTACACAAAACGTATGTAACAAACACGAACCCGAAGGACGACATCCCTTTGTTTTGCACTTTTGTTTGGACTTTCTCCCAATTGCCACCAGTGCCGTACTTACAATAATAATAAACATAACCACGCGAATGGCCTTCAGTTGAAGGGTGCCGTACCCTCAAAGGAAGAATGAAAACTCACGAGAGAGAGTTTGTTTGGGTGCACATGTACATAAAGGAGACTTGTCAAAGAGGGAAAGAGAAAAAGCAACATCCGATGCGGGTGTACGGCGATGTGGGTGTACGGCAGAGTCTTGGGAGTCAGGAGTCCAATACGCCGCTCCTCAAATCCTTTCAAGGCTGTGGGCAAGTGGCCTTTCACTGTCTAACGACCTATCTTGAAATCCCGGATCCAAATTTTGGATCCAAACATTCAAACCATGACGCCACATGTTAAAACGAGATCGACAACACGAAGCTCAGTCGCCAATGAAATGGAGCATCTGCTGCCGTACACCGCATGTCGCTTGTACCGTCGTACCGTTGTAATGGGGAGACCGAGAATGACCGAGAATGACCAGAAGAAGAAGAAGAAGAAGAGCCTTCCCCCTGTCCGGAAGGTTAACCTTCCGGGCAGATCTCCCCCTACCCGTTTCAATGCGTTGCTGGCAAATCCGCTGCCTGCGCGATGGCGCCGGCATTGCACCACGTTATCAACCGCCAACCACCAACCGCCAATGAGCCAAAGCACGACAGCAACCGCATAATCTACCCTTCCGGGAGGCATATTAGTTAGAGCAAAACAGCCTATTTAACAAACATGGACAGCTGGCTCCCTACGTGTATTACAAAATACAGCCCGCAGTTGCCATTCTCCAACCGGTTGCGGAAATGACGCAGCACTCAACCAACCCCCAACCGCCTCGCCAACCGCCAAAGCGCCACCCAACTGGAGCAATACCTGCTTACACACATACATACATACACACATACAGAGATCCCCTGATATGCCGTGTATGAATACAACACCAGCCCCTGAAAGTGTCCCCTTTCCCCATTCCCCGCTTTGTCGCGTCGTATAACTCTAGCACCAACAAAACATGTGCGTACGGCCCTCTTCCCTCTCCCCCGACAAGTCCTTCGGAACACGGGTGTGTACGGAAAAAACCCAAACGTGCCGTACTAATAATGTTCCTTCGATGCTGCGCTGGCAACAGTATGTCGGTCGAGTGCCGACGTTTTCCTTCCTCTTGTGGACATGGCACACATATATACATACATGCATACATACATACATACATACATACGCAAACATCAGCACAGGTGTGTGCAGAGAGACAGACAGACAGACAGACAGATAGACAGATAGATAGATAGGCATCTGGACAGGCTTACACACAGTGTAAGCCTGGTCTAGGTATCCCGACAACCAGGGACCTGAAGGTAAGAATGGAAGACCTGCTGCCGCATTGCTGCGGTGCACATGCAAAGCAATCATTAGCAGCAATCCTAGAAACTGGTAATGATGCCGCGACAATGATATCATGACGCCATAATTTAAACATACATATATACGTATGTATCTTGCATATACGTATATAATTAATTTGGTTACAAGGATAAAGGTAGGAAAGGGCGACAAACAACGTGTGAAGGAATGTTTCGGTGGAACCTTTTTTAACGTAGCCGTCACCGGCTCCAGCATTGAAACGTATTGTGCAGAGTGCAATTCTATGATACTGAGACTTTACCACATATTTATAAAGCGTGGTACCCCACTCACCCAGCGGCAACCGGACAAACTACAATTTGGCTCGGCAACAGGTAGCAAGCTTGTTTCCTAGGTCAATATAATACTAACTGACGGAGTATTAATTCTACCGATTGCGGTAACGGATAACTTTGGCATTTTTACAACAGCTTCCTGTACGGCAACTGTATCCTATGGCAGAACGAAATCCCCCTAGACACTGAACTGTACAGCACCTTCGCAACTTGCTATTGAAGACCTGACGTGGTCGCACGTACATACGGCAAAGCCCAACCGGCTATCCCCAGAGGGCGTTTTTCCGTTGCCAACGGTGGCGTTGCCGCCGGGTGCCGTGAGGCCGGCACTGCCACCACCGCCATCACCACCATCACCACCGCCGCCATCGCCACCATCGCCAGCGGTTGCGTCCAACGCCATGGAGCCTCCGAAACCACGAAGACGAAACACAGAAATGGCCTGTGGTGTAGGACTGGAAGGTTGTGTTGGAGGGTGTGGAACGTACTGCGGCTGTGGCGGCACTTGCGGCGGCGCGTGCGGTTGCGTTGGCGGCGGCGGGGACGTGAACGGCGGCGGCGAGTTGCGATCATGAAGGGCGGCGGTGTACGGCGCCGCCAGCTTAGGGGAGAGCGAGTTTGACCTGCCGGTCGGGGACGTGTTTGGTGACGGCGCCGCCGCCGCTGTTGCTGCCGTTGCCGCCGCCGCCGCGACTGCTGCGGCAGCGGCTTCATCGGCTCCGTCAGCAGTAACATGAATATGAAGGGCGGGCCCGCCGCGCGCGGCACGCACTGCAGCCGCCGGCGGCGATGGGGGCGCCGCCGCCGCCGCCGCCGCTGCTACGTCTATCATCCCGGAGCCGCTGCCGGCGCGTGGTCGCTCAACACCGCCCATGCAATATGCAGCCGACGCCGACGCCGACGCCGTCATCATCAATTGCTGTGCTATGTCGGCGAGATCTAAAAGCCGCTTGGAATTTAGGGAAGACATGGAGGTGCGAATAGCAGGGCCTCCACCTCCGCCGCCGCCACCTACGGTCCTGATGCGGCCTACCGTCAGTACGGCAGCGGCGTCGGAGGGCGACATGGGGCCGGTTGATGATCCAGTGCTGCCAGTCGGTGATAGAGCCGCTGGCGCAGCCCACGCAACGCCACTTTGGTGATGCAGCACTCGCATCCGCGGTCCGGGAACCGCCGCCGCCGCCGCCGCCGCTGCCTGCGGCGGATTCGGTACAGCGGCGGCGGCGGCGGCGGCAGTGGCAGTTGCCGGCACCGCCGCCACAGGCGCTGTGTAACCGGAGATGGATGCTGGCGCGAAGAGGGTACTGTTACTAATGTTGACGGCGGTGGGGACCACGGCGGCTGCGGCGGCGCTGTGATTCCGCGGTACAGCAGAATACGGCCTAGGGATTTCCAGGCTGCCTGTCCGGCGGACCGTTGTGGATGCCTGATCAACTGTCGTCGACATAACCGGCTGGCATAAGGCCTCAAAAGAAGCTCTAGAACCCTGCAGGCGCGGCTGTTGTTGCAATAGCGGTGGGTGCTGCTGTTGCGGCGGCGGCGGTGGTGGCGGCTGGGCGAGCTCCCGATTGCAGTACGCTTCAATAGATGTACGGCGGGTACTGACGGCAGAGCGGAGCCGCTGTGCAGTGGGCTGAAGTTTGGTTCCGGAGCGATGCTGGAAGCTGGTGGTCCGGCGGGGTCCCGCCATCAAAGACATGAATTCGTACGGATCTGCCGTATCTTGTAATGAGCCAACCCCGACGGCGGAGTGTACGGAAAGGTTTCGTCGGGAGTTGCCTGCTGCGGCAGCGCCGGCACCGCCGGTGCCGTTTTCGCCGTTGTGTTGGTGTCGGAACTGATCGGAATTGGAATCGTCGCGGACCCTGCCGCTGGCGGCAGCAGCGGCGGCGGCGGGGGCAATGACATCGATGGGGTGCTCCCCGGCGGTGGTGCCGCCGCTGCTGCCGCCGCCGCCGCTGCCACCCCCAGCAATGTTGCCGGTGACGCCGACGGCAGGGCCTGCACAGCCGCTGCCAGCTGCAGACCTGCCGGGAGTGGCGCCAGTCGTGGGGCTCGAGTCGGCATAGAAGACGATCGACGTTCGACGGCCGGTGGCGGGTCGGTCACCGGTGTCGGGACACGCCACTCGCGCTATCCAGCCTTGCGACGTCGAGTCCATCGCATCTCCGCTGACGTATACGATGGACGATCGACGGGCGGTGGCGGGCCGGCCCCCGGCGTCAGCGGCGGCGGAGGCCGGCGCACGTGGTGCGGTGCGGGGCACCGTCTCTGCGGGGCCTGTGGTGTAGCAGACTTGGGATGTTCGACGGACGGGGGAGGAGGCTGGGATTTGGCGCTCCGAAACCATTGTCGTCGAAGGCGAGAGGTACCTTCGACCGGGAATGGTGGATTGGGACTCGCTGGAGGGCCGGATAAGGGCTTGTGGCACAGACGGCTCCGGAATCGCCTCGTTGCGCAGAAGGGCGCGGCGGGAGAAGAACGAGCGCAGCTTGGATCTGAGATTGGAAGGCGCAGACTCAGGTGGCTTTTTGTGTCCGACTTCGCGGGGATTTGGAGCCGTGGCGAGCTGGTCATTAGGCTCGTCATGGTCTTCGGCGGGCGGGTAGGTTGGCCTCGACGGTGGGCCAGGGGATGTTTCCCTCACAAAGCTGTTTTCAAGCTCCTCGAGAAAGCGCCTGCTTCGAGTGTATTCTGCAAGCCGAGAGTGGAACCAATAAGCGATGTTCCGCTAAAACAATGCTGCCGTTGAGATTCCCCAGCATGATGTGCAAGTTTAATAGTTAAACCGTTATTTTAGGAAAAACATTATATGAAAACGGCACAATTTGGTGGAATAGCCAAGGACAGCCCCGGACTGCGTTGCATGGTGCGGTTCGTTGGTCTTGCACGAGCTGCACGAATAATCTTGCAGCCAAAGCTCACAGTAATGTATTACTATTGGTCACCTGCTGCAAGGTTCGCGAGCAGTCGTTGCGGGTCTTGGCCTTGTCCCTCGCTTTGCCCAGTGGCTTCCATCCTACCATAGGACGTCAAGTGACGAAATAATGCGAGATAACAGAAAGTGAAGATTTGTATTTAACGTCTAATACAGTCCCGTAAAGTGAAACGCAGTCTCAGTTGGAGTCATCCTGTCTGCCCGACCTCCTTCCGGAAAGCCGCCATGAGCCTTAGTCAATCTACTTAGTCAAGTCCAAAATTATCAGCTGTTTAAATGCGCCACGCAAGGCAGTGATGAGAGCACAGTAGCCCAAAATCTCGTTGGCGCCCAAGTACGACAAGATAAAAATAACGTTTCCTGGTGGTACGGTAGACCTCGATGCTATTGTAACCTAGCGATTAGAGCCATTCTTTCATCTAACACAATTCGCAACAGAGACTTCAGTTGAACTTGCTACTTAACTATATGGGCTTTATTGTTTGACTATTGGCAACATGCATGGTGTAGCTCCGTAAGAAACCCTAAAAGCATTATGTACCTATCACCTTACATGTGATCTACCTCTTTACCACGCTGACGTTCATTACGTTAACGCGGTGCTCCCGGTCTACGCGCACCCTACCCTGTGCATTCGTATAAGTTACCGATAGCCCTGGGACTAGCCAGCTGGGAGTGCGTTTCTAACTTTCTGAATCGTCGTCCTGAGGTTCGTTTCTTTATTGCATGGATTGGTATTTACTCGTGCTGGTATGGATGGCCGCTGGCGGTAGTGTTGACGAGGGCTGGTGTAAGGGGGAGGAAGGGGGGTGATCTGAAGACCACCGTCGTCGCAAGCACGCTTTCCAAATTCCTAGACTCATGACCGACGTTGCAGTACAATTCGGAAACTGAAAGTCCGCCACACGTGCTTGCTTTTCTTATTTTCCTTTCCTGATACCCGTTGTATCCGGTAAATCAGCGGCAGAATAATGAAAGGAGGCCGCGGAAAAAAAAGGGGGTAGGATGTAAATTAGAGGGCCAAACTAAACGAGAATCCGAACAGAAATACGTACGGCACTGTCAGCTCCATTAACGGCATGTGTGTGGAGGGGCAGGTGCAGGCACGACCCTTTGAACAAATAACTTGCCTGGTGGCCAGGATCAGCCTGAGGCCGCTGGCGGTGAGGTGTGTTCCTTCTGTCCTGCGAGTTTGAGGATGACGACCGCATCAAGTCAGGCGGAGCGATGTACTGGGCTATGTAAGGGCTGAGCTAGCTGTTGGGGCCATCAAGCATGGAGACGAGGCGTCTCAGGTCCTTTTTCTCTTAGCAGGACCTGCGAGATGCATCTACTATCGGGAAGATATGTTTGTCACCGGGAAGATATGTTTGCGGATTTGCTGTGCTCAGGCCGTAGGAGTGCATGTATGCGCTTTTTGGGCACAGCGCGCCGACAAGCTCAGCAAGTATGACAATGGTTCGCAATGGATGCTGAACCGGACGGTATACGCCAAGTGCTGTGGAAACACCTTTGCGTCCGCGGCTGTACCCTGTCCCTGGGCGTTTTCGCCGACTTGCACACCATGAAGGTACCGGGTAGCTTCTTGACTGCAACCTGGTGCCCCGGGGTCAAGGGTGTCAATGCTTTCACCCAGGATTGGGACTCCCCGTCGTGGGGCCAAATAGAAGGAGATGGCATCCCCTGGCCCCTGCTGTACATCAACCCACCGTTCAACACAGTGGCCCAGGTGCTGCACGAGGTGGCGGAGGAACGGCCAGACTGTGTGCTGATCCTCCAGTTATGGCCACATGCATGGGCGGCCACCCTATGGATGCTGCCAATCAGAGCACAAGTGACCCTGGTCCACAGGGAGCTGTTCATCCCTGGATCACAAGTGCCCAATGCAGGGCCCCAAAGCAGGCCCCAATGCGCCCCGGGGGTCCTACAACCCCACACATTCCGTGAGCCCGGTTCCCACTCTGGACCTGCAGCAGGCGTATGCCTGCATGCCACATGCATGTGGCGCCTCCATTGTTGCCCATCCAGGAGGCTTGCCTAGTGCCAGGGCCCCACTCACCCCTTTTCCATCACACCTACCTCGCCTATCTCTTTTCCACCACTGCCGGAGGCTACCTGCCCCAGCTCCTGGCAGCACATGTCAGCACCCCTTCAGTACCCTCCACCATACTGGACCCATCCTCCAGCCGCCAGGTCCATGCAGCAGCCCACACGAAGGCAACGAGAGAAGGACACGGTGATAAGTCGACGCCAAGAAGGGCAAAGCAGCGGTACAAGAAGGGATGAACCTGAGCTTTCAGGCAGGCCGAGAAACTTGTTAATCGGGGAAAAGCCGCACAAGAGAGACGCGACAGCTGCGAAGTGGAGCACCACTTCTGTGGAGAAACAGAGGCCAAATGGAGGGCGAATAGGAAATGATGGATGTAGCTGCGAGTTCGGTTTATCTGAGGAACGAGCCGAACTAGAGGAAACACAGCAAGGACCTGGCGATGAACTGGAAACGTGAGACTGGAAGGTCAAGGCGACTTGCATGTTTCGACATGACCCGACATTGACACATGACACGCAGACTACTGAAATGCACGGCCCTCCCCGCTTGCATCTCGCTATCTGGCTGCATGAACCTGGGGCTGCAACATGAAGAGACATCGTGGTCCTGCCGCCGCTGCTACTGCCACTTCAGCTCTCGTACATGTTTCATGGGCGGACTGTGTTGTCTTGTCGACACGAGAGATATTTCATGCCGTGGAGGGCTGTGGCTGTCGTGACGGAGATCCATGATCTACGTGTGAGAACCCAAGCACTAAACAAGCGCAAGAGTGCGGGTCGGGTCGTCGAGGGAGTAGTGAGATTACCTTGACAACCTAGCTAACGAAGTTTCAGTGTAAATGACGGTTGAACGTTCATCGAGTATGTAATACCCAATGGAACAGATAACAGTTGGTGCTTGTGTTGGCGCCGTCACATTGGACGTGCGAGTGTGCGAGTGAAGGTGTGGTGGAGTGGATAAAGGGGAGGGGAGGGGAGGGGAGATGGGAAAATGTCCATGGGCCCAAAATACAGAAAGCGACACCGCACGCTGTGTACACCCGATGGCTGCACCGTAAGTGGAACTCGTCGGCTTAGCATCACGTCGCCACCTAAGATGGCTCGCTGATGGCTTTCGCAGGAAAGGCTGCACGTCACGGGTGCATCATTTCTGCCCAGGTCCCCATTAATGTTCCGGTTCCTCAATCTTCCTGATACCCTGTTTTCCGTCTGGAGGTCCGCATTAATGCTGTTCACAGATATAGGGATATTATTGCGTAAATGTGTGTACTATTGTGTGTAGTACATTCAGTGGCTATGGCTTCACTGCATACACTTCTGCCTCTCGATGCTCTGGCAGCAGTGGCTTCGTGCGCTCGGACATGACGATAAGCGTTTATAGTCACCGGCTAGCCCTGAGAGTGATTTTTTGTGTCATCGAACTGGTGGTAATTACTAGTCTCAGGGCCTGCTGGAGTGAAGGGCCGGTACACATGAGTCGAAGGCGGAAGCTCACCAACGCCGTCTGCCCTTGCGCTAGGCACACACCTGCCAGTCCGAGAAACGATGATAAAGACACACAGGGCTATAAGGATAGAGAGTTTAAGACCCCAAAAATGTGCAACACATGCTCGTCTGCCTGTCGGCTAATCCAAGATCTCAGGCTCAGTATGATTGGCTGTCTGCCAATCTCTGGTTTCTGGGCGGAGTCTACCTGTCAGCCAATCCCATGTCGCTGGGCGACATCACCGGAACTTTCGGAGTACGGAACAGCCACGGACGGAACACCTATATTTGGATGTCATCTTTAGGATAAATATGTCTTCACTGCACACTGCTATCGATAGCGTTGTTTTCACTGTTGCCCTTTTGTGAACTCGAAAGCAGAGCTCAACGATTGCAACGCGGACCGTGATCTGCAGCAGCGCCGCACAATTAGTGTACCCGCCTGTGGAGTATATTGTATCAAGTGAGTTTAGGCCTGTGGAGTATATTGTATCAAGTGAGTTTGAAATGTGGCGTAAAAACTCCCAGGACCTGATAGAGGCGATAGACTTGATAGAGGCGGAAATCCGCAAGGTTGACGGTGAAATATAGGCCGTTGATGAACAGATAGCGGCGTGCACTATTAGGACACATTAGTGTACTTACGCAAGATGGAGGAGCAGTACTACACATTAGTGTACTTACGCAAGGGAAAGCAGCTCCAGGAAAAGCAGCTCATCTTGCTGCGCAACTGTGAGTTGTGACAGCGCATATCATTGAGGCCATGGTGAGATTTGCGCAGACCCGGGGCCTCCACCAGTTTTTGCAGTGTCGGACCCTCAATTCGCCTAGCAAGGCTTTACATTGCTGCTTGTATATCTTGTACAACCCTATCTCTTGTATCTCTTGGGATCCTCTGCGGTATGGTATAGCAAAAGTGTCGATCAAATGCCGACGATACACTTAGCGCGCGCTGCAGTCTGTGGAGAGAATGGCTGCCCCTGTACTCCAAGGGTACTTACTCCTTAGCTTTCAGATCGAAACCCCCACCTTACCGTGCTTGGAGTACAGGGGCAACCGTGGCCTTGGTCTCTCCACAGACTGCAGCGATCGCTTCGCGTATTATCGGCTTTTGATCAAGACTTTTGCTATACCATACCAGAGAGGATCCCATGACATACACGAGATAGGGATACACAAGATATACAAGCAGCAACGTGAGAAAAAAAAGCCTTGCTGAACGAAATGAGAGTTAGCAATTGTGGTAACTGGTGGTGGAGGCCCCGGGCCTGCACAAATCTCACCATGGCCCCAAGGATATGCGCTGTCACAACTCACAGTTGCGCAGCAAGATGAGCTTCTTTTCCTGGAGCTGCTTTTTCTCTTCGCGTAGCTGCTCCTCCATCTTGCTTAAGTATGCCAATGTGTCTTTATTGTTCCTTATTGTGCACGCCTATCTGTTCATCAATGGCCTATATTTCACCCTGTGGATTTCAGCCTCTATGATGTCTATCACTTCTATCAGGTCCTGGGAATGTTTACATTTCTAACTCGATACAATACTCCACAGGCCTCAATTTGTATGAAATGTGTGGTACACTTATTGTGCGGCACTGCTGCAGGTCACGGTCCGTGTTGCAATCGTTGAGCTCTGCTTTAGAGTTCAGATAAGGGCAACAGTGAAAACAAGGCTATCGATAGCAGTGTGCAGTGAAGTCTTATTTATCCTACACATGATATCCAAACATAGGCCACATAGGTGTTCCGTCCTACTCTGAAAGAGTTACCAGAACTTTCAGAGTACTGGTGATGTCACCCAGAGACATGGGATTGGCTGACAGGTAGACTCCGCCCAGAAACCAGAGATTGGCAAACAGCCAATCATACTGAGCCTGCAGCTGATTGGCCAAGAGGTGAGCATGTGTTGCAAATTTTTTGGGTCTTAAACTCTGTTATCCTTAAAGCCCTTCTTTGTGTCTCTTATCATTGTTTCTTGGACTGACACATGTGTGCCTGGCGCAAGGGCAGACAGCAGCGGTAGAGAGCATCCGACTCATGTGAACCGGCCCTTTACTCTAGCAGGCCCTGAGACTAGTGATTACCACCAGTTCCATGATGCAAAAATTCAGTCTCAGGGCTAGCTGGTGACTATAAACGCTTATCTTCATGTCCGAAAAGAAGTGTATGCATTGAAGCCATCAGTGGACATCAGAATCCTGTTACACATGCAGGATACAACATTATTTAAGCATTGTGGTTGAAAAGTTGAACAGACACACAAGCTTTCTTGTGTTCTTGCATATACTGCTGACCTGCATGGTATGTGTCTTCTGCCTGCTGTCTCACTTTGTGCAGGTGCTGCTGCTGGCGTGGACCTGTGGAGCTTGGGAGCTGGTGCTGGTGGTAAGTTTACTTCTTGCTTGCCTAGGGAGAGATGGGAGGGATGCCTAGGGAGAGATGGAGGGACTAAAGTTACTTAATCTGATGCACATAGGCCTGCTTTCCATGACTGGTCCTCCAGATTTATTTGGACAGCAACTGCCATGTCAGCTCAGGGTGTAGGACCCTTTCTTATGTTTTTGTTTGCTGAGTCAAACAGACAAGGAAGCCAAGGTCAACAAAACACTGAACACTGGCAGGTGGTGAGTTGAACAGGATGGCATGCACCATCTTGAACCTGTGTGATGTGTACAACAGGAGGGCAGTAATGTGTTACCAGGGGGATAAACCCAGGCCTAGGGCAGGTGTACCTGCATGAGGTGGCTGGTTAATATATCCTCTACTGCAGTATATGGGGCTATCAGAACTGTGGCAGCCAAATTGTCAGATTATGAGCACCTGTCTTTGCCTGCAAGATGTGACTGCCCTGAAACTGGGCTGCACAGAGGAATTGAAGTGGACAGAATCATGCTTTTAGATGTCAGGGCTATGCTCATCCTTAGCATGATTACAAGCCCGTGGCAGTGGGGGGCCCCATCAAAACGGTCGGTTGGGTTTGGCGGCTAAATGCACGATCAACGTGGCAAAGAGTAGCTGTGACCGACTGGAATGTCTCTGTGCCTGAAACACTTTAAGGTGGCTAAAGCCTAGCTAGGCGCATGTATTTGTAATTGTATTTGTAATGTTACAGAGTGGGAGGCTTCTGGGCCGCTTTATCACATTGTCAGTTCTACGATTTATCATCTTATAGCACCATCCACCACTGCTGTAAGAGGGATCAGCTCCCCTGGCATCTCCCAACTGAGTACTCTTTGCCTGGTGTTACATTGGTGCGAATTGCTAGGAGGTGGGGACTCCCCGAATCAAATCCGGCTGCGAACATATCGCACAGCAGGCATGATGCAGCATACTCTTACCCCAAAGGTGGATGCCTGGGCGGGCGAGAAGTCTACCAGCTGAGTAAAAAACAAAGTCCTCCATCTCAGACGGAGACTGACGAAACGTCAATAACACTCAAATTCACAATCCTACTGGATCTCAAAACAACGTAAATCCTATGGGATATGCCCGGGGGTGCCCGAGGATGTTTGCTTGAGGGGGGGAGGAATGTAAGAGGGATCAGCTCCCCTGGCATCTCCCAACTGAGTACTCTTTGCCTGGTGTTACAACTACCACACTATACTTCGCCACAACAATACATGGCGTGATATGGAATATGTGGCCGTAAGGGCCTGAGATGGATCCCTTCAAAAGGGGGGGAATGTAGTAGCTGGTACACATACACAGTACACAATACATAACGTCTACAAATACGAGCTAAGCATGTCCACCAGCATCTCTAGAGGCTTTTTCAGCGGCCAGCTACTACTTAATACCTGGGCAAATGCAGCTGTCGGCTAAAGTGCAAGGATTGGCTTTGCTGGCAACAAATGTGTAACACCATGGTCAAAGGCCACCTGGCCAGGCAAAGAGAACTCAGAGAGATGCCAGGGGAGCTGATCCTGTCTTACACCCCTCAAGTTAACATCCTTGGATGCCCCTGTATGATTATGGTTAGTTGATATCCCGTATGATTTTGGTTTATGACATTCCACTGGCCCCTATCCTAGATGGTGGACTTTTTTTCTCAGCTGGTAGATTTATCACTCACTTGGGCATCCATTTTTGGGCAAGGGGGATGTGCATCGTGCCTGGAGTGTGCTGTGTTTGTAACTGGACTCTATCTGGGGAGTTCCCACCTAGCTATTCATACCAAAGGCAAAGCATATCAGGGAGATGCCAAGGGCAAAGTAGAACCTTTTTACAGCATGCTGATATCCCTACATACCTATCTGAACAGGATATTTTTGCTGTCCTGTCATGAGTTCCTGCCTGCATGCTGCAACCTCCCAAATGTGGGTGCAGTGCTCTAACAAGAGCCAGAAAGATCAGCCATTCTCAGTAAGCCATGGGTGTATCTCAACAACAACACCAGATAATGAATGGGTTAATCCTAGGTGACATACCACCAGCATTGCCAGGGGAGTCTTGGGGAGGCTGCTTCTTTGCTGTTCAAGGGAAGCTGATCAACATAAATATGGCTGCAGTTACTAAAATGGCAACCATGCTGTGCCATGCTGATGTAAATACTGATAAGAGCACCACAAAGGATATGCAGGAGCAGATGGCTAACTTCATGCAGGGTGGAGGCCAGTTCATTCCTGACCTTGCTATCTCATCCAGCAGCCTCTGATGAACTGGCCCCCACCCTGCATGAGGTCAGGCATCAGCTCCTGCATATCTATGTATCTGCAGCTGCACCTATGGCGATCAGCTTCCCTGTTTCAGCCAGCAGAGAAGCGGCCTCCCCAAGACTCCCCTGGCAATGCTGGTGGTATGTCACCTAGGATTAACCCATTCATTATCTGGTGTTGTTGTAGAGATGCAGCCATGGCTTAGTGAGAATGGCTGACCCTCCTGGCTCTTGCTAGAGCACTGCACCCCAGCATGATGTACCTGCAAAAACCCATACTTGTGAGGTTGCAGCAGGCAGGCAGGTATGCATGCACAGAGTAGCAAACAAATCCTGTTCAGATAGCTACATGGGGATATCATGTAACTATTTGTGTTTGCTATACCAGACAAGTTGGATTTATAGTGCATGCAAAAGCCCAGAAGCTGCTAGGTTACTGAGCTGGCAATGGTAGCTCTGGCAATTGAAGACAGCCTATTGCTCTACCATTATCAGGTTATGTGTGTATGGGCTGAGCATATCAGGGATCTTCTCTTCATGCTTCTATATGCACATGTACACACACAGCCATGTGCCATCCTAGCTCCATGTCATGCATCATTCCCCTGAGCACTCCCCTTGCACGCCTTTCCCTCTTATGTCAACTTTGTACATGCTAGTTTCAAAACTTGGAATTCCAAGGAGAGCTAGTCATTTTGTGGTGCATCTACAGCTTCCCTAAGTACCTCTGGCCTCTTGCTTGCTTCCTTTGTCCTGCGTCTCCTATCCAGTGGTCCAGGACCCTGTGAAAAATCCTACTGCATCTTGCAAAACCCAAGATGCAGTTTTGATTACTCATGGCCTCGCAGATGCACTCTGTGCTCAGAAGATGCAGTGTACAGGAAATGTATGGCTGCTTTACTTGAGTGATATACAGACCATTAACAGGCTCTCATTGATATGCAGCTGGGACTGCCCTGGTACCCTAAGCTGGATGCAAGCATTCTTCACAGAATGCCGCTGCCAACTCTGAGCAGATGACCTATGCAGAACTATCGATTGTTTGCTCGTTTTCAGAGTAGGCTCTTGTAACAGCATCAAGGGTCTTGGGGTTATGGCCTCTATGGGGCCCCGGGGCTATGACAACGGCTGTTGACTCTGTCAAGGTGGAGCAGTTTGCCGACAAGGTCCTGCTAGTGGGTGTTGCTCCTGGTTCCAAACTGGGCTACTGAGCCACAGGCTACAGACATCAGGATTTACACTCACAGCTCATGTATACCGCAGTACTGGACACAGCTGGGCATTTGACCATTTGCTGGAGATGCCAGGTTGTGTAGGTGTAGGTGTAGGCACAGATGGGCTTGTATCTGTAAGTGCCCTGAGTTGTACAACCCGACCAAAATGGAAGCATGCTAAAGAACGTTCCTGAGAACGCTAAGAATGCTAAGAACGGCTTGAGAATGCTGGCGCTGCTGAGAACGTTCTTACACCAGTCTCAAGCATTTTTATGACGGTTTTAAGCAAAGAATGGCTTTGAGAATGCAACGGTGCGGAAAACTTAGCAGAAACACACAAAGTTACAGTGGTTTGCCCCTTCCATAGTTCAAGCAGGAAACAGAGAGTCAGTCCTGTATTCTGAAATAAGTTCCTAGTGCTGAAATCATCCACAAGACCGACCATGAGGGCCCCTACAGCTCTGCACTGTGAGGGTAAGGCCCTTCGAAAACAGGCTGGCACCAGGAAGTCGCCCCAGTATACAAGCGAAGCAGACGTGCCCCAACAATCAACAACTATCCAACCAAGGATGGGCTTCTCAGCATCAACGATTTAGTCAGTCAACATATGGAACGGACCTCAAGCAATTTCTGTCGATTTGCATAGCAATGTGCCACTCCCATTACTTCACCAATACATCCCTGTGCACAACATTCATTCGGTTATTCCATCAGCCGTACCATCAGCCGTACCTTCAGTGAGAAGCCCTGCCCAGGGCACGGTCCGACCATTCGAGGGCCTGGGCGACCATGCCCACCAGTCCCCACGATTTGCCCTCCACTCCACCAATGCGTTACTAACGAGGGCCCCTCAAGAGCAAGCCACAAGGGATTCAGAGGTCTTGTGGCGCTAATGTGCTGCTAATGTGCAGGGCCTCCCAGCCAGCCACCCGCATGAAGCTGTAGCTTCTTGAAAGAACACACAGGGCGCCCCGCTTACTGGGGTGTGGCAAGATGTGCACCCGGCAAGGCGCAACATCCTCAGCTAGGTAGTAATGAGAGCCTGTGTTGGATGTAGTGTACCTCATACAGTCGAATCCATGGCTGCATGGGCCAATGGTACATTATGTTATCCTCACGACCAATCTGTCCTTCTGCTGGTGTGGTGCGTCTTATTTGTTCCATGACAAATGACAGAGCAGCACCATGGCTCATGTCTCTGACCCGCTCCTTGTATTCGTTTGTCTGCATAGCCAAACCTTCATGAATGTACTTCTTCAGGCTCTCTTCCTTCGTGCCACTACCAAGCATTCTGAGAAGCGTCCTCTCCACCTGTGAGGACAGAGACAATCTGTTTGTGCACCGAACACTTCTCAACGACAAGCTGGCACCACATTGACCTCATTGCCTTCAATTACAGCCAAGAATTTCATGGACACGATATCGTCTGGCTTGCTGCGCTGTGGCACTGTAGCAACCCACTCAACACCATCATGTTTAAGGCATTGGCCTATTGAAGTGTTAAACTTTGCATGTGAACTTGTGCAGTGCCGCACTGGAGAAACCTTCGTAGTTATTGTCGATGGCATTGAGTGGGTTGCTACAGTGCCATGGCGCAGCTAGCCAGACGATATCGTGTCCATGAGATTCTCGGCTGTAATTGAAGGCAATGAGGTCAATGTGGTGCCAGCTTGTCGCTGAGAAACAGATTGTCTCTGTCCTCACAGGTGGAGAGGACGCTTCTCAGAATGCTTGGTAGTGGTGCGAAGGAAGAGAGCCTGAAGAAGTACATTCATGAAGGTTTGGCTATGCAGACAAACGAATACAAGGAGCGGGTCAGAGACATGAGCCATGGTGCTGCTCTGTCATTTGTCATGGAACAAATAAGACGCACCACACCAGCAGAAGGACAGATTGGTCGTGAGGATAACATAACGTACCATTGGCCCATGCAGCCATGGATTCGACTGTATGAGGTACACTACATCCAACACAGGCTCTCATTACTACCTAGCTGAGGATGTTGCGCCTTGCCGGGTGCACATCTTGCCACACCCCAGTAAGCGGGGCGCCCTGTGTGTTCTTTCAAGAAGCTACAGCTTCATGCGGGTGGCTGGCTGGGAGGCCCTGCAGCCGCAGACCCCATGGGTGAGGTCACGGTAGCAGCACATTAGCGCCACAAGACCTCTGAATCCCTTGTGGCTTGCTCTTGAGGGGCCCTCGTTAGTAACGCATTGGTGGAGTGGAGGGCAAATCGTGGGGACTGGTGGGCATGGTCGCCCAGGCCCGCGAGGGCCTGGGCCCTCGAATGGTCGGACCGTGCCCTGGGCAGGGCTTCTCACTGAAGGTACGGCTGATGGAATAACCGAATGAATGTTGTGCACAGGGATGTATTGGTGAAGTAATGGGAGTGGCACATTGCTATGCAAATCGACAGAAATTGCTTGAGGTCCGTTCCATATGTTGACTGACTAAATCGTTGATGCTGAGAAGCCCATCCTTGGTTGGATAGTTGTTGATTGTTGGGGCACGTCTGCTTCGCTTGTATACTGGGGCGACTTCCTGGTGCCAGCCTGTTTTCGAAGGGCCTTACCCTCTCAGCGCAGAGCTGTAGGGGCCCTCATGGTCGGTCTTGTGGATGATTTCAGCACTAGGAACTTATTTCAGAATACAGGACTGACTCTCTGTTTCCTGCTTGAACTATGGAAGGGGCAAACCACTGTAACTTTGTGTGTTTCTGCTAAGTTTTCCGCACCGTTGCATTCTCAAAGCCATTCTTTGCTTAAAACCGTCATAAGAATGCTTGAGACTGGTGTAAGAACATTCTCAGCAGCGCCAGCATTCTCAAGCCGTTCTTAGCATTCTTAGCATTCTCAGGAACGTTCTTTAGCATGTTTCCATTTTGGTAGGGTGAGATCCACATCTGGCCGCACCATAAACCACGACCCCTCCTGGAGCTTCATCATCAGATTTCCTTCGTAATTGCAGCGCTAGCAGACCCTCCTTGTTGTACCACTGGTATAAAAGAGCTCAAGGCCATCTAGCTCCTTAGGGCAGCACTTCAGCAAGGATTCTGGAGTTCATATGGCACAGTAATTGTCACCATTTAGAACGGAATAAGAACAAGAACACATTGCCAGCATTTGACCATGGGGAACATGACTGGATTTACACACATAAGGGGCAATTCATGGTCGGTCATGCCATATAAGGAGCATGACGACTGTCATGACCATGACTTTGCCTGATGACCGTTAGCATGACCGATCACGAGGCAACATGACCAGGTCTATGACAGACCCCCCCCATACGACCATATCCATGACCAAGTCGTTCCCCAAGTGGATGAACCCAAAACGATTTGCATGGCGCTTTTCTTCAGAGGCCTGTCACGTTATGCATGGAGGGAAGGTAAAACTGCAGAGCCATCATTGTTTTGAGGATCTGCAATCTCAGTGGTAGCTTGGAGTCGAGCCTGGGATCTGCAAGGAAGCATTGTCGGCATCATGGTAAGGTGGTTGGTTGCTGACACTGCCAAGTGACATGATGTACAGCGATACACAGTTTTCAACACACAGTCTCTGGCTACTGCCAACTACTCGGCTCCGAGACCCAGCCCCAAGTGGACCACAGGATGCTCCCCATGAGGGTAAGTCGGGGTAAGGCAAGGTAAGTACGGCATAGTTTTAGGTTGTACGGCATTCATGTTCTGTCGGCAAAATGTACATTTTTGGTGTTTGCTGTCCAGCGTATTACATGAGATCATACAGTGTACACTGCTGTGTGTGTAAATTTGAGGTGGCGACTGCGACAAATGGTTACCAGCAAGCATTTCTATCACGTGGCTTGCATCGACCAGTGGTTGGAATGTGATATCGGGTACCTGTCCGCACTGCAAGGATTATGTGCAGTGTTTTTTTAAGTAATATATTCCTTTTAAGAAATAAAGAGGCCATTTTGGCCTTTGGAAATAAGGAACAAATTGAGGCCGATCCGTACATTTTCATTCCTCCAGCCAAAAACGTCCATTGCTGCCAGATTGCTCCGTAGTGTGCAGAACTTAGTATTATCGATCATAGAATAGATATGAGGGGCCGTAAGAAGGTCAAGCCCGTGAGTCAACGCGGCATAGCAGAATGTATGACCGGTCCTTACATAGCCAAACACGCAAAAGGCAACGACTTGAACGCTGAACAAGCACCAAAACAGCAAGATAAGCCTGAAATTTTTGCTGATAAAGGCGTTTGGGACGGCGGTGCTGTTGTCGGTAATGCATCGGCAATGGTGTTGCTGCCAGCAGCGACCGATGACACGGGCGCCATTACCCCTGCCTATCATGGCGGTTGTGATCAGCATAAGCGCAAGCTGTCACCCAATCAGCTCGACAACAACGAATGCGGTGAGGCGCCCAACCCGAGCGCTCGCAGTGCCAAGCGGGCTCAGACACAGCGCATCCGCAAGGGCATGAGCGACGGTGCATGGCGGGACAAGCAGAAAGAAAATCCCCACAGATGTTTACCCAGGACCTGTTCGACCTGGGCACGTTCCCGTTCCGTGACGCACTGAGGAAGTGGCTGGACAGCAGCAGCAGGGGCCGGTACATGATGAACCGGTAGAGTCCTAGTGTGCTGTGGTTTGCAGTGGCGGGTGACGGCCTTTGATTTGCTATGCAGTTGCTTGCTTTGGGCCTTTGCTTGGTCGGATTTACTTTTTGTTCACAAACAGTGCCAGAACTATCTATGCATGTGCATGAAGAGTGCGCACATGAACGAAAACGCGCCAACGCAGTGTGTGCCTCTTGGTCTATGAGGGGAGTTGTAACTTATCGGGGGGGTCTGGGGGGGGTGTAGCCCCCCCCAGCGCCCCACTCTTAAGGAATGCATTACGGCGACGCTAGCAACTTTGTTACTTAGGTCGGAATAAATTGAGACCCCCCCAAATGAAAAAAAATCACTGATTATGTGTGTGTGTTAATGTATTGTATGGTCTCCGGAATTTGTACAGCCTCCTGCCGCTGAGGGGAGGGAGCATACGGCAGCGGTGGTGACTCATAAAAAGCGCTTTCTGGTGGCGCTTTCTGGACCACACGACCATGTTTTAGTAAGAGCCATTTCAAGCCAAGTTTGAAGGCTTGACTACGATCCGGTCTGTCCGGGAGCTAAGAAGTCGAATGGCTGGAGCGCGCTTGAGTGCACGCATGGTCTCTTATCGTGAATTGAGGGTTTACACCGATCCCGCATGCATTCCGCATGGCACCACCTTTGATCACCTGCACCATCCAGGTTTAAGAGGCACACGGCTCGGACCTCTCCACACATGTGCATAGCTGTTCTTGCCGTTACTGCTGCTGATTCTGTACAACGACACCACAGTAACCGGCGATTACAGTCTAAACGGAACTAAATGGAGCGCAGAACTGCAGTATGGCAAATTTGCAGCACTGTATGCGTGGTGAATGGTCATTCAGAAGGTGCCGCTGTCGCCGTTGCATATCCCGCGTCTTTCCACCAGTTGCTGACATCACAGGTCAGGTGACCACATCGCAGGTGTGGAGGAGGACCCAGTGCACCACTTAGGTCCCTCACCCACAGACTGGCTCCCGGGGTAATACTCTTTAACTGGCCAGTGGCCGGTTGTCTAGTCCCTCCGCTTCCCCCCCTCCTTTCCGAAACCCAGATCACAACCTGGGAAGGAATTACTCCATAGTACATAGCGCCGAAGCACACAGGCTTGAAGGCTTAGGATTAGCCTGTTCCCATTGAAGGCAGCTTCCTCCCGGCCACTAGTTGTGCCATAGTTGTCAGTTCTGTATGGCTTCGGAGCAACGCTGCAACATCAGGCTCTTGCTGTGGAGACTGCTGTAAACTGGTCGGGGCCCAGAGCGGCCTGTCAAGGCGCTAAGCTGACCCACTTAAACGTGTATCTGGCCTTCGGAACAGCATGCCTGTCGATATTACTTCCCAACGAATTTGCTCCGCAGCAAGGGTTTGTTTCCTTATCGGTCCCCTCATGGGATGGGTGCGCGTTGCTGTGACAGTGGTTATCGGGGCCGCGGAAGGCATGCTTGGCTAAGGCCATGGTGACACACGGACATGCTCAAGTTGTGCTGTGCCTTAACTCGGCATCGGTAAGCCGGGGAAGGGTGATTGGCGCTGTGGTTTTCCGATCCAACAAACATATTGGTTTGCAAGACACGTGGTTGACCGTAGACGTCGCCCAATCCCAACAAGATCTCGAATGGATCGCTGTAATCAGCACCAGCTACACAGCGAAGTGCGCGCGAAAGCTCCGCCGGCTTCTGGTCTTCCCTTTGGATCCACGTGCATCATGTCAACGAGAACCGCCTAACCGTAAATCGCCCACTGGTGCGCTGAGCGTTAAAGATCAGGGAGAGTCAAGCGATGGGCGCATGTGTAAAAATTGCCAGGTCCAGAAGTACCTGGTGCACAGTAAGAGTAGTAGCTTGTTGCAGAACAGGGCTGCAAGCGGATGGACGCCAAGAGTGTAGAGGTTAAAGCTTTGCAGCATAGTGGTGCATTATTAAGTGTTCGTCATCGTTTAATCACAAAATACATTCTGACGCGGCCAAATGGCGGAGGATATAGAGTCTGAGCTAGAGGCTCAGCTAGTGTCTCAGCGTGAGACCCTGGCTGGTATTAATGAGGCTGTCAACCTTGGAGGTGACAGCGCAGAGGAAGGGCATGCAGAGCTGCTGCAGGTACATGCTCGCCGAGATGCGCTTCCTTCTTTGCCCGGCGGACATCGGCACCGCATAATGAGAAGGCTTTATACCTCTGGAGTCATGCCTCACAACGCGCTTTGCAGATGCGTGATGAGCTGACGGCAGCGGTGTCGGAGCTTGAATCTGCACTTCTGGAGATTAAGCGAGCGCGCATCCTGCAGCAGCTTGCAGCCAGAAATCCACCGAGCGTCAACACCCGTAACACCTTGGATGCTGGTCCGACAGCGCCACCGCCTCCGCCTCCACAAGCCATCCTGCCGGCGAAAGCCGGTCAAACCATCCCATCCGCTGCTGCCTCCCAGCCGATTCCCGGCAGCTATTGCCATTTTCGATACATGGATGGTCGCTGGTATGCAGGCCGCGTCCAGGGACCTGGCCGGCAGGTGGGTTTCTACCTTTTGTAGGTGTCCATCAGCACAAGGCGGCATCCATCGGGCGCCGTGGGGAAACTGAAGACTGGCGGTGGGAACTGAAGACCAGCTTCTAGCATGCTCAAACAATATGACCCGCCATGAAATATGTCAACACAAAGGAGAAAGCATGTTTCTCGCCTATTATTGTGCCGTACGTGAAGTTGCGCCGTCGTACTACCACACCAGCGGAACAGGGAAACAGGAATCTTCACGTCTTCACTATCGACCCACATGACCATACAGCCGCATGCCTGAGTTCACGCCTCCACGGCGGCCTCTTCAATTTGCACACTTCTTTTTGCATAACGTTGTAAATCCCCTTTCCCTTCCTGTTTTTCCCATTTATGGGCTCGGCTTACAACATCCCCACTCCCGAAGCCCACCCAAACTGGGTTACGGTTAATTTCGTATTTTCACCTCCATTTGTAAATCCCTCCATCATCCCTGCATTGCCGTCTTCTCTTTGCTCATGAGTCCGGATGCCGGGGTTCCGCCGATTGCAGGCTCACACCGTGTCGGTCGCATTTGAGATTCCCACAAGGTACGAACTTGTTATCGCGTGTCGTACGATACGGATTCAATTGCGGATGGTGGCCAGCGGGGTCAGGGAGGGGAGAAGGAAATCGCCAGTGAGAAACGACTTGAGCCGCGGTCTCATGTTCGGGGTGTGTGTGTGGGGGGGGGGGGGATCCCGTGTATTGTGTGTGAGGGCGGCAGGGTGGGAAAGGGGCGAGGAGGGCTTGCGTCGTGAAGTATGGTGTTTTTCGTTTTGTGCTGTGTTGTGCTGGGTGGCGAATTCCTCTCGTCGTTTAACTATTCCATTTCTCTGCTGCTGCTGCTGCTGCTGCTGCTACTGCTGCTATTGCTGCTGCTGCTATTGCTGCTGCTACTGTTGCTACTGCTGCTGCTGCTGACATGAGTACTTGAAACTCCCTTGACCACCACCTCCACCACCACCTTGGTGTTAATCCTGATTCTCAAAGGGCCCTATGCCGGTTTGCCCGCCTACGGCCGCAACTGCCCCCCAACTGACCCCCCCTCGTGTGCCTGTGTGTTTGCCGCACACCCCCCACCCCCCACCCCCACCCCCTCTACTCCCCGTTCCGGTGGTTTCCCTTACCCCTTCCTTGCGTCTGTGATAAGGCCCTTCATGCTGGACCCGGTCGACGTCATGGAAGCACTGGTACGGCCCTGCGCCGAGCCTGCCCTGACTGCCACATCCGCAGCGGTGGCAGCATCCTGGAGAGAAGGCCAATCGTTTCAGGAAGGGGGAGGGGGAGGGGGATCTGGTTCGCCGCTGCCTGGGTTAGTCAGTTCTGCCAAACATGGTGCTGACGTGGCAGTGGGCCGACGGGCGCTGGCGTTACTGCCGGGCTCACGGCTGTATGTGCCGGTGGAGGTTGTAGCGCTGGATGTGACGAGAGCTACAGCCACTGTGCTGCCGCTACTGCTGCAGCCCCAGGGCCCTGGCGGCGGCGGCGCTGGCGGCGGCGGGGGCGGAGAGGTGGTGGTGCCGCTGGCGTTGGTGACGCAACATGCGCACGTGACGGCGCCGGAGGAGGCGGGGGGAAGCGGCGACGGCGGCGCTGCTAGGGATAACGCCGGGAGCGGCGACGGCGACGGCGGCAGTAGCAGCAGTAGCAGCGTCAGTGGGCTGTTGCGGCATGGGACTGGAGTGGCGGAGAGCAGCGAGGACGATGGTGATTTTGATTCTGAGCACGAGGCGGGTGATGACGACGGCAGCGGTGGTGGCGGTGACGATGATGACCTGGACCTGTACGGCAGTGACGGAGACGGTGGCGGCGGTCCGGGCGATTTTGAAGACGGCGCCGGTGAGGAGATGGAGGACGAGGATAGAGGCGGCATCGGATTGGATGCCTTGGGGCACGCCAGGTGTGTCAAGTGTGTGTGTATGTATGCACGTGTGTGTATGTATGTGCGTGTGTGTGTTTTAAGGTCGCGTCGTGTATGTGTGTGTGTGTGTGTGTGTGAAGTCAGGTTGTGTGGCTGGGAGGGTGATGTGGTTTCGCCTGGGGCGGGGGAAGGGAGAGTAGAGGAACCGTTTCATGCAACACAAGCAGACAGACAGACAGACAGACAGACAGACAGACAGACAAGCAGGCCACACATGTAGAAGAGGCAGGGGGGGGAGTCGGGTCGTCCGCCCAGCCTTTATCCCTGCGCACAAGATCATCCTTCAACCCGCATCTCCCCCCCTCCAGACACTCTTTCCTTGGCAGCAGCTTCACTCGCTAGTGGTTCGTCTTTCCCCCCTTTCCCCCCCCCACACACCACCAAACACCTTCCCCCCGCAGGCTGGCCGCCGCCGCGGGTGCCCTGGACGACTCTGTCCTCCTCCTGGCTGATTGGGAGGGGCACGGTCGGGGGGTGGCTTCCCGACTGCTGGTTCGAATGGGCTATGTGCGGGGGAAGGGGCTGGGGAGCCGAGGTGAGGGGGGGCAGGGGAGGCAGGGGGTGTTTTGTTAGTCTCTGCGGGTGATACACCCCGGCGGTACCCCACATACACACATACATACATACATACATACATACATACATACATACATACATACATACATACATACATTCACACCTCTCCAGTCGCACCTTCGGGCAGCTGCTTGGGATTACGGCAGTTAGTGCGTTGTGCGTTGGCACTTTGTTGACTTTTCTTCTGCATTTGGCATTGGATGATACCTCACCAGCTCATAACATACCATGAAACCTTACATACATAAACATACATAAACATAACATACATACATACAAACCCATTTCCTCCCCCGTCCTGCCGCCCTCGCCTGCCCTATCCGTACAGGTCAGGGCCTTATGTCCGCTCCGGAGGTGTTGCTACTACCTGAGCGGAAGGGGCTGGGGGCTGTGGACCGGGACCGAGTACGGAGGGTGGGTAGGGGGCTGGCTGGGTCGGCTAAATGCCGTAGGTGGGCTAGGTGGGGCGGCGCTAAACCCGGGTCGTAGGTACGGAAATGCAATCGTCACCTGCTGGTTATCCGAGCAGCGGGGTGGGGAAGGGGGTGGGTTTGGGAGTGTGTGCGTGTGTTTTGGGTGTTCATGTTCGTACTTTGCGGTACACTGCTGCCCTATAGTGGGATAGTGGAAATGATGAGAGAGAGGAAGTGTGATGGGGTAGGGAGTTGGGGCAGATGAGTATTAGAAGAAACGCACTTTCGGCGCTTTCATGTCCAGAAACGTGAGGATGGGCGGTCGTGCATTCATTTCCGTACATGCATTTCCGTACATGCAGGTGGGAGGTGGCGGCGGCGGTGGAAGTGGGAATCTCCAGGGCGGGGTCGACAAGCGGAGGAGCAGGCGAGGCGGTGTACGGCAGAAGCGCAAACGTGCCATCCTGGCAGCGAGTGCCGCAAGGGATGAGGCTCGGGAGGTGGAGGAGGGGGTACCCGGGGGCGGCGGATTGTTTGATTTCATTAACTCGTCACTTGGTAAGTGGTGTTGTGGAGACTGGCGAGGGCGAGGAGGGGGAATGGAGGGTAATGGGAGTGTTGCGAACCGTGCAGGTCGCGTTCGTACAAAGGGTATACGGCAGCAGTACAGAATTAGTCCAAATCCCTGGATGGGCTGGGATGATGATTGATGTTCGCGTACCAGAAATGAGCACTTTCTATCGGAATGCAGATGCAGAGATACAGATGCACAAAATATATCTGTTTTTGTACATCGTAAAAAAAGCGTTTGACGTCAGGCCACCAGTCATTCACTGAAAAAAAGACCAGAAAGACCGGCAAAAGGCAGGCGGGAAGGTGATGACGAAGAAGGAAGATATCTTTTGGGTTCCGAGCTCTCACATAAATCACACCGATATCATCCTTCATCATCACCATCATGACCAACACCTGCTCCAGGGGACTCTTCCGCCGCCGCTCGAACTCGTAAGGCCCAGGTAGCACTGCTGCCGGGTATGCCTGGCGGCGACGGCGGCGACGGCGCCGGTGCCGTACATCAGCGCGCGGGTGCGGCGGCCATCGCCGGCGCTGTGGCAGCTGCCTCCGTTGGCCTTGTTCGCCGACCCGTGGACCGGCGGGGTCTCATGAGCCATCATGACAACGTGGCGGGAATCCAGGTAGGCGCCTGCATCTGTCTGTCTGTGTCTGTCTGTCTCTCTGTCTCTACGTGTCTGTCTCCATGCCTCTGTCTCTGTCTGTCTGTCTGTGTCTGTTTGTCTATATGTGCGTGTGTGTAAGGGGAAGCTAAGCTAAAGGGGCCCTGTGTGTGTTTTTATCGTACACATAGACCTGCGTTCATAGCTTCCTCGTGCCACTTGATTGAGGGCATTACCATGGAATTACAGTACACCGGCGCCAAGAGGAGGGCAAGAGCGAGGGCGAAGGGGGAAGTGAGACCATTAAGGAAGGCGGGGAAAGGTTAGAAATGTCCGTCTTTTTGTGTACCGCCCCGCTGGCAACGTGTCTAGGTGCACCTCCTCCAGAGGACATGCGCACTAGCTGGTCCCCCAAGCAGCTAGCTGACAAACCAGCCGCATCACCCCCCCCCCTGGGGTAGGGTCGCGTGGGTGCGGCCGAGCTGGTGCATGTGTTTGCATTTTTGTTGTTTTCGTGTAACTATATTGTTTTGTTGTCTTGACTGCCAAGTGGGACACTACTTTTTAAAAATTGGGCGTTATTGTGGTATCTTGGTAAATCACGGGATCAGCATACACCGATCGGTTCTTTTCCGGTAAAGTCGTGATATAACAGTTATTTTCGTGGCAAGTTTTGTACAACATTCTCTAGGAGAGCGCTTCGAGGTTGGCCAAACCCCCAAGGGCGGCGGATAGTGGCGGTGGTGTCGTTTGTGTCTCCCTGATGGATGCTTGCCACGTTATCTCGTCGTACATTATCTCGTCGTACCTTGCCTCTGTTGTACGACCACCTTGCTTTGCAGACCAAGCTGTCCCGACTTCAAGAGATGTTGGGCAGACACAAAGACAACCGAGGCTTGCGTACCCAGATCGAGGCACAAATACGGGCCGTACAGGTCCGTACGTTCGTACGGAGACACTCAAAGAGATCGGATGCCACTCGTCCTCATCCTCCTGTGCTTGCTCTGTCATTGCGTTCCTTGCATTCGATTTGGTGTTAGTGATGTCAGTGGTAACTGGCACTTGGTCCTTCAAAATTCTCTCTTCCCAAATCCGCTCCTACCAAATCCCCTCCCTTCTGACGTCTCTCTTTTGAGAGCTCTTGTAAAGGTCGCATCCGCTTCCGCCCCGCCTTATCGCTGGTGCTGGATTCCGAGTATTGCGACCCCAAAAGCGCTCCGCAAGCTTCCAACAGGCCTCGGTTTCCGTTTTCGGACTGCCTAAGTCTTTGTCGCGTGTTCCCGGCAGCACCCAACACTCGTTGTGTGCTGCTGTGCCTTCATGTCGGGTCTTTTTGCGACTCTTTGCTCGAGTCGGCCGAGTCGGCGATCTGGTCTGTGCTTGCCTGTGGGCAGGGGGAGCTGGCGGCGGCTCAGGCGGCTACTGCGCGCGTGAGCAAGGCAATCCACGACAAGGACGCCCAGAAGAAGTGGCTCAAGTTCTAAACTCATCGAGGGGTTGCAGGCGTGGGATGCTACTAAAGGGTGGCGCAGGGGTTTGGTACCTTTGGCAGCGCAACGGAATATGTCGGATGATGTCGGCGTCCTCGTGCTTTTCATAGTTTGGCGGTCGCATTTTCCCTTCTCGCAAGGCCTTTCATTCTATCCAGAATTGCCTCGGGTTTTTGACTGGAGCACCATTTTTTCGGATCCTGTAATGGATTTGTTGTGAAAGGATGAACGGCCAACGTTATCCCGCTGTTCCAGAGTGATAGCATGGGGGAGGATTAGGCTAATCTTTTTGCTTGGAAGTGGTGGAGCTGCTTGGCGAGGAAGTGTGATGAGGTATCGTGTACTAATTGCGTCGGGTTTGATGAGATGAGCATGCGGTTGTTGGTATGTCCATACTCTATTTTGAACAAAAAAGAAATGGGACTCAGCATTCATGACGAGGTATGGTTTTGTCCCACCTCCCGGAAAAGAGGGGAAACAAACGCACACGTTGAAGGGAGGCTACGCACGGTCTATACTGCCATTCTGCGGAATCGATTTGCCAGCCCTTCAATGTAGACTTCAGCCCCTGAGATGAACATAAGACCGAGTTGAAGACCTATCAATGGCAGGGTCTGGTTGCGGGAACTATGGAGAGCAACGTTGACAACCGGGCAACGTTGGTATATTTAACCATCCCGCTCTATGGTATAAAACATACATGCCCGCACGACCCGGATCATGTCAGCGCAATCCAAAAAGCCCTATCTGTGATCTGGCGGTACCCATAAGCGATCGGATAACCCGTATGAACTTCAAACATGGCGCTCATATGCATATATTCTTAATTAGACGAGGGATGATAAGAGGAATGCTGATGGTAATGTTGCATGCTGTACAGCTACATACTTTCCAAACTGCTATTCAACTTTCTACGTACACAACATTTGTACGCGAGCTTTTTACTTACGTGTGAGGTATTTACGTTGTGGCTTGGGTTAAGAACCTCCAAGGGACCTGGGCATTCGACCGGCTTTCAATTGTTCACGGGCATCGTTATGCGGTTACCTTCTCTTTCGATACGATAAGTTGTTATAAGTAAACTCACAATATAATGTCGAGCGGGGAAAGTCCACGGAGATCTGCAACAGAACGAAAGTTACGTGGCACTTCTTGCAGGTCAGCACCATTTTAGGTGAAGCCATCTTTTTAACCCCAGAAGACTGCATAAAAGAGACATGTTAGTACCTCAAGTTATTCTTTGTCGGATTTATGGTTAGGGTTGCAGTCTTTCCCACTCCCGACCCCCTTCCTACATATCACATCGACGTAAGCGCTTCCACCGATGCAGGAGCCATGAAGGTACATGTGAAGAACTTCTCCGACTTAGGTCCGAGCAGTGCTTTGGGCTTGACGGTCCAACGATGGCATCCCTACCTTATGGTGTCCTCTCGCACATCTTCGATGAGCTCGGCCCTCGTGACCTCGCTTCAGCCAGCTGCGTCTGCCGGGCATGGCGCCGGCTGGTCGCCCTTGAAGGCGCTGCGAACCAGGTAAGGACGCCAACTACCCTCCCCCCCCATCCTTCCTCCACACCCACTCATCCCGTTCGACACACAAGCGCGCAAACGGCCTCAACCCAGCCAAACTAACTAGCTCCTCACCACTTTCAACCCCGGATAAGCCTGCATAGCTCTGCCAAAATCCAAAAGCCCTTCTCCTAGCGGTACGACAACTTATGTCTGGAAATCAAAGGTCAGAGAAGTAGAACAAAAAAGCAGCCCAGCGGAACGCAAGGGCCGCCTATGTTGCTGTATGCTGGCTGCTGTCCTTCAGCCCTGCGCGTCCAAACCCCACACACCCTCGCATCTTCCCCCCCCTTGAAGGTGTGGCGCTCTTTCTACTCTGCTCGTTGGCAGTTGTCGAGCGCCTGTTGGCCCGTCAGAAACCCCCTTACCACCAATCACACCAACAACAACAACACCGGCACCGGCATCACCACGATTAGTGCCACGATCAGTGGCAGCAAACCCATCTCCGTGCCTGGAAGCAGCAAAAGCAGTAGCAGCAGTAGCGGCAGCGTTGGAGCTATCGTTCACATCGGCAGTGATGCCTGCGCCGCGTGCAGCGACAGCAGCAGCAGCAGCAGCAGAAGCAGCGGCGCGTCTCCTTCTTCCTCCTCCACACCCTCATCCTCCTCCGCCGTCACCACGCCCTCGAGCTCGCCGGAGATGCGGTGGCAGTGGGCGTACGGCACCAAGATGTTGCGGCTTCGGAGCTGGTCCGGCCGGTACAGCGCGGACCAAGTAATGGGCCACAAGTAGGTTCCGGAGCGGTTCCGGGTGTGCTTTAGGTTTCTCGGTGCGCTGAGCCGCGGGAGTTCGCAGGAACAGAGATGTGGGTGTTAAGTGACGATGATGGTATTTTATAAGTAGTGTTACAAGTTGGGGTTAGTTAGGTTTAGCTGGGGGTAGTTGGGGTTAGTTGGGGGTTGGTTGGCCCCGGGGCTCCCGGCAATTTCGATGACCGCTGCTCCTCCGTCCTCGCTGGCAGCGCGTGAGCATGCTTCCTCCCCCTCACCCACCTCCCAGCGATTTCTCTTTTCCTCCTAAACCCCCCGCCCAATGCCGTTCAGGCTGGCTGTACGAGCTGTACGGCTGTTGCCAGCGTGCGACCTCATGGCCACTGGTGCGTTAGCGTGCGTGCGTGTGTGTTTGGGGATGTAGGTGGGTGGGTGGGGATATAGGTATGTGCATGTAATGAAATGTAATGTAATGTAATGTTACAGAGTGGGAGGCTTCTGGGCCGCTTTATCACATTGTCAATACAGGTATGTGCACATGCACTGCGGATGTGCGTCGGGGGGCGGTTTGGGGCGAATGATGCTGCCTGCTGAGGGGAGCTAAGTGCCCGCTGAGGGCTGGAAGGGTCAAAAATGTTTTAAGGAGTTGACGTCGAGTATCCGGATGCGCAGCATACCTGTTAGCGTGCTAGGGCTTTTTGAACCGTAGCCCCACGGGTTGCAAATTTTACGTGTCGTACGCCGTCTCTTGATTCCGAATTCCGTACTGTACTGCTCCGCAGCTTCCCTGGACCGAACTGTTCGTCTTTGGGATCTTCGTTCTGGGCTGCCGTTGGGGCACAGCCGACCGCACGGGGGAACCGTACGATGCCTGGCTCTCGACACGGGGCTTCTGGCTTCTGGAAGTTCCGATAGCCTGGTAAGAGTTTGGCGGCCCGGGTTTCGGGGCGACGGCGTCAGCGGAAGCGGAGGGCTCGCGGAAGCGGAGGCGCCACCGCTGTTTTCAATCTCGTCCAAGCCGTACATCTTGCGCGGCCACGGCGGCCCCGTGTCGTGCCTCGCGTTGGACGAGTCGCTGGCGGCGCCGGAGGTGTACGGGCGGGATGCGTACGGTGGGACGCTGTTCTCTGGGTCGTGGGATTGTACGGTGCGGGTCTGGCGGCAGGCCACGGAAAGCAGCGACGGCGACGGCAGTGGCGGCGCCGCCGATGGCGACATCTCGGATTGCAGCGGCGGCGGAGCTACCACCGCTGCAGGCAGTAGCGGCGACGAAAGGAGCTCTGGTGACGCCGGCGGCAGCGACGCCGCCGCTTCCGCCGCCAGTCGCCCCCGTCGGGCGGGGTCAAGGGACACGGAGGACGGTGGCTGGTCTTGTGCCGGCGTCTTGCAGTACAGTGACTGGGTGTACTGCTGCGCCGTGCGTGGCGGCAATTTGCTGGTGGCAGCGGGCAGTGAGGTGGTGGTAACAGACGCGACGACGGGCCGAGCTGTACGGCGATTTGCTGACGTACACGACGGCGCGGCGGTGGCGTGCCTTGAGGGCTGCCGCTCGGGCCAGCTTCTATTCACCGGCAGCGGGGATGGTCTACTTCTGGCACATGACCTCAGACTTAAGCAGGTGTGTACGAGGTGGGACGAGCTGATGAGGTGCCGTACATACAATATACATACATTGCGCGCATGGGGCATGGGGGCCGAGAGGGCTTTGAGGGGAGCAGGGCATCCTGAGAGCCACACCTCAGCACACTCCTGCGCGCCTTCTTGGTATTTATTGTACATTATTTTTCGAAGTTTTTCGTCTTTCGGAGCGTCACCATTATCCGATAGGTAGTTTTCATGTATGCATGTATATATGTCGCGTTTGTCCACACGGCTAGATTTTGCCGAAATACTCGCACATACTCGAAATATCCCGAAACCCCACAAGAACCATTGCACTCACTTTTCCCCTCGCGGCCATGGGATTTTCCCACCGAACGAACTTCCCGTACGACAAATATTTTGTGATCCATCCTTTCCTCGCTTTCGCGTGAGCTGTACCCCTGTACGTCCTGTCGCTCTCCGCACACCACCACCACCTCTGTCGGTATTCGGCGCTTTGCTCCTTTTGCGCTCCTTCCCGTGATTCCCCACCGCCCACCAATCTGTCTATTTTGTATGTCTTGTCTTTCTGTCTGTTTACCCGTCTTCTGGGCGCTCCTGTTTCTGTCTTGCCCCGCCTCGCCTCACACCGTCTTGTCGTACACCTGTCGTACGTCTGTCGTACGTCTGTCTGTGTCTAGGGTTCCCGGGTGCTGTGGCACCACAATGCGGCGGTCACCGGACTCGCGTTTGAGGACCCCTGGCTGGCCTCGTCATCAGCAGACGGCTGTGTCATACTGCAGGTGCGTGTACGAGTGTACGAGTGAGTGTACGAGCGAGTGAAAGGGAGTGTGTATCTGGTTTAATGATTTGAGCCGCGAGAATGGAATGCCCGGTGTGTGGTGGTATTGTACCGTTCCCCGGCTACTACTGCTGATGCGCTAATATTTCTGCTGTTGCTGATCATGTTGATGCAGTCCAATTCCGTAGTTACTGATACACACACAACGACTTAACGACACACATACATACACAACGTACATACACAACGCACCTACAGGATAGCGAGCAGGCTCTCTCCGCGGGCGGTGGCAGTCCGCAACGCGCCTTCAGTTCCAGCTGTCGGGCGCTGCACTGCCCACCTGGCCAACCGGCGCTGTGCCTGGATCTCGCGGATCAGTGGCTAGCGGCAGGTGGGGCAGGGGGGGTGGGCGGGCGTAGGGGGCCTCGTCGCGATGCATGTTTCCTTGTTAACCTTTTTAACCGAGTTTTAATGTATTTAAGGTGGACCGGAATTCGTTATGAATTTCTTTTGTGGGCTAGGATGGCGCCTAGTCTTAGAATGCAGCTCGTGGATTCCCGGGGTTGTCTGTCCTTGCACCTTTCACTTGGAGCGCTGTAGCGCAGGTATGTATGTAATCCCCCGTGGCCGTTCCGCTTCGCGCCTCACGGCCCTCCCCTCGGTGTACGGCAGGTACGGAGAGCGGTGTTGTACGGCTTTGGGATTTTACCGGCGCTGCCGCGGCGGCGGAACGTGCCGCCGCCGCTAGGGCGGCGCGAAGCGCCTCCAAGGCTGCTAAAGCGGCCGCTCGCCAACAGCACCACCAGCAACACCAGCAGCAACATCACGAGCGCGGAAGCGGTGCCAGGCACCAGCACCAGCAGCAGCAACGTCCGCAACAGTACCATGGTCAGCAGCCGCTTCTTGTTCTCCATCATCGTCATCATCACCAGCAACATTACCACCACCAGCAGGCTGTCACTGTCGACCTACAGCAGCCACCGAAGCCGCAGCAGCAGACACAGACAAAGTGCGAGACGGCGGAGGCATTGCACCGCGACAGCACCAGCAGCGGTGGTGGTGGGAGTGGTGACGGTGGTGGTGGTGGGAGTGGTGACGGTGGTGGTGGCCTGTTACGGGAGTCTTTGAGGGCGACGGCGGCGGCGGCGGCCTTGGTGGAGGGATCAACCGCCTCAGGGGATGCAGAACCCGTTGCAGTTACCACTGCTGGCCCGGAGCAAGCCGGAAGAGGCAGGAGAGGCAGTGGCGGCGGCGGCGTTGGTGGTGCTAACGACGCGCCGTCGTCGTCGGCGCGGCGCGGGGGAGGCCGCGCTGCCGCCGCTGCCGCAGGAGGCGGCGGCGGCGGTTATAATGACCGTTGGCATCACGGCGGCGGAGGCAGCTCGTACGGCTGTCACGCATATAACGGCGTAGTCTTCTCAACTTCGAAGGCACGCGCTCCGAAACCGCCGCCACCGCCGCCGTTGGTGGCTCCCACATTTCGTTATGTAGGCAGCGGCGCCGGCGGCGGCAGCGGGACCAGTGGTTTCGGAGGAGGACGCGGCGGTTACGGAGCGGCGTCGGGTATGGCGGCCATTTCGGGTCATTTTGGAAATCACCGCATGCATCTGCAGCAGAGGCCGCCATTGCAGCAGCAGCAGCAGCGGTAGTGAATGCAGTGTAAGATCTTATCCCTGGAGGGGCCGGATGCGGCGTTTCAATAGCAGCAGCTACAGGAGTAGCAATACCGAATATTTGTTTAGTGTCTGTATGTGTGTATGTATGTCTGTGTCTCTTGGTGTTCCATAGGGTTCGACTTTTCCAAAATTCCCATTTCAGATCGGTTTACCAGACATGCGAGGTATTTCAGAATTTTCCGGTACCGCATCGAATCTTCCAGAAAATTTCGTTCCAGGGAAGTTGCATGGAGATTTTGTTATTCCATGAATCCGTTTACGACTGGCGATACAAAAATATAAAAGGATGAATCCATCCAAAATTTGGTAAATTGGATCCGGGGAAAGTGTACAAACAAAGAATTTGACACATCAGTGAAAAGGTCGTTGCCTCGCCGTCGACTTTTCTGCGCATTGCGTAACTTGTGTACATCGACAGCAGCGCGCCGCTAAAAAGTAACATTCCCATTTCTTTTTATGATGGTCGTCCTAATCACGATCGAAAAGTCATCCTGGTTGATTCCGGACTTTTTGATGTCTTGGACCGGATTATCGTATCCTAATTTCGAACCAGATTGGGTACATAAACATAAAAATTTATGTAACAGCGCAAACTAAAAATTCCAATGCCGGACCGGAGTTTTTGATCCGGGTTTCGGATCTGGACTGACTCCTGGATTGTATCGGTACCAGGGATTGTATCGGCCCGCGGTTGGTTTTGTTGGTTGCCGGGGTTTTCTGTGCATTTAGGCCGTACACGTGCATAGTGGCTTTTATTGCTTGTGTGTTCGCCGTAAAGGCTCCACTTACGTGAATTCCTGCTGTACCGACCACTACATACATGTACAGACCTGTGTCCGATTACAGGCCCCTCTTAATGGAGGGGAAAGGTGTCACTGTCCAATTGCAGGTGTGGGCGGATCCGTCTGTATGTCTGTCTGGGGCTGGGGCTAGGGGCAGCTAGGGTTCCCGGTAGAGGTTTGTTTTGTCCCCACCGCCAGGTCCATGGCGGGCCGCCGGGGCCAAACCCCCGAGTCAATGACTTCATCCATCTACATGACTGCGTCGGCCTCTTGGGGACGCGGAGGACGTGCAAATAAAATATGAAGCGCATGCGACTCTCTCTCTCTCTCTCTCTGGCCCATACTCTTGTTGGCACACTGCCACGTCTGACCATCAGATGTGGAAGAGGTGCACGTGATGAGCAAGCGCCGTACAGTTGTACAACTGTACGAATTTTGGGTTGTGCGATGTGGATGGAGCTATTCGAGTATTGTCAGTATGGCACTGGTGATGGCTCCGTAAATGGAATGAGAGCTCAAAAAAGCCCCCGGAGATCCCGCCTGAGAACCCCCTGCGACATCCTTAGGTGAGCCGAAGGCGGACCTGCGCGGGGGTCCTGACGTTATTTTTGCGGAATTCTTTTCGGCGGAGACGGTTTTCCTGTGTGGGAGAAAAACGATGATTTGCGTGTACTTTTGAATATTTTCTGAGCCGCGGCGAGGGAATTTTGTTGTTTGAACTACTCAGTATTCAGTACTATTCAGTACTAAGTGCTACTTGGGATGAGCTTCTCTGTAACAGCAAGCTAAGTAATCTCTAAAGCAGCATCTTAATAAGTGTGTTTCTAAGCAGCTATGGAGTACGCACGAAGAGGGTAGTACTAAGAAAATACTAAGATGGTATCGAGCGGGGCGTTGTTGCACTAGCGGCAGCACAGGCGGTGTTCGGGTTTAAAATACTCGAATACCGGAGCGAGCTCCTTAGTCCAGCGACGTCTTAGAATTTTTCAATTAAACTGTAGCTTATTATTTTCAAGCAGATGTTGATTAGAAGAGTGGCGTGGAAAAACCCCAGAAAAACAAGCCCGTAGAAATTAGCGGAGCCACAACAGGGCGGGCGACTAGGTGGTGGGCGGCTAGAAATGACTACTACAGACAACGACGGTACCAAAAGTCCCAACTATATAACCTTCGAAACAAAGTTCCTGTTTCTTAGCCTAGCGGATAAAGCAGAGGGTCATGCCACTGATGCGACGAAACGCAGGGTGCCGAGGGCGCCCGGCACAACGAACCCTTTCCGTGAAAGCGGAAGGCTGACTGACCGCATGTGGACAAAGTGAACAGACAAAGGACAGATGTCGGCGGAGCAGCAGCAGCAGCAGCAGTAGCGGGAGTTAGTAGGTGTGTTTGTTCGGAAGATGTTCGAGATCATGCCAGGGCAATTGCAGGGCCCACAGCTGCGGCGGCGCACCGGTTCTGAATAAGAAGCGGAAGAGAAAGAAGGAAATAAAAGAAGTGGAAGAAGACGTCGGAGTAGGAAATATATGGGCGGCGATGAAGTACGGCAGAAACGAGATATAGGGTACTACAAAAACCACATGCTGGTGAGGTGGTTTTAATTATCTGAGCCGCGATGAGGGAATAGCCGAAGGTGGTGATGCTGTGAGTTGACGTTTGCGTGTGCTGGGGCGGGCAATAAGATGAATGTTATGTGGCATAATGACAGGCCGGGCCCATGGATGTATGGATGTATGGAAGCGCGATTTAGCTTGCCGGTGGTTTTCCGCATCGAAAGCAGCAGTGCAGCATGGAATGGGTGGAACAGACAGGACGTATTGCTGCATCACAAGACCTTGATTACTCTGGCCTTGATGATGGTGACGGCATCCATCCGTGATGGTGACAGGATGGGCTGTCACAGTCCTCCTCCTCCCTTAACACCTTTTTATATATCAAGATAATTTTTGCGGTGCGCGGAGTAGGGGATGGCGTTAGGGTGCAAAGTTATATGGGTATGGATACAGGTACGGGTACAGCGGCTGCAGCTTAGGTATTGGGCGGCAGGTATTGCCCCGGAAATTTAGCGCGTTCATTGTTGGTGCGCACAAATTCAGGGTTATTGCTTGAATTGGACAACAACAGGTAATAGAACTAACACGGACGACTTAATTGCTCAATAAAAGCATCAGCACGGCCTTGTCACGATGGCTGCACCACAACATGCTGGACTATTACATGCTGGACTATTACATGCAACCTAATTAGGCACTTTCCATTACAATCCACTACCGTCAACAGAGTTTTGTCCCGGCAGGTAACCGATTGGTAGGGTAGCCTATAAGTGGGGTAACCCATCGGTGGGGTGAAGGCCTCGGTAATTCCCCTCGGTTGGGGTTGGGTCGGAGAGTTACCAATCGGTAACCGGTCGACTGTATGGCATAGGCAGGAATCAATATAGCGCTGGCGGGTGCGTTGTGCAAACAACCAATTTTTCGATGGATGATAACCTAATCATACTGCCACCACAGAAGCGCTGCACAACCCGCCGCCATGTCATTACCTGTCCGAAACACCGACGAACAAATCCACGAGCAGAACCGACTCACCAAACATGCAGAATCAAGAATAGGAACCATGTCAATTCCGTCTGCGCGCCTCAATTAGCGGCCTCGCAGGTTAGCAAGGCTGTTTCCATCACCAAGTCGTCAATTCCCGGAGCAAAACTACGAATCACATAATCAAAGTCCCGAGACGCGACCACGCGATAGACACGTGCACAGACAGACATAAAAAAGAAGAACAACGCAAACAAACGTAAGATGATGCTGTTGAGTCACAAAGCGAAAACCATAAGACGCAGTCCATTTTCAAATTTCTCCCCGCTATAAAGCCGCGCCTCTACAAAGCCAAACCTAAGCAGCGAAAATCAAAAGGCTGCTGGGCGGATGCAGTCCCCTTCTCCACCCGCTCCGTCATTCTCACGTAGCCGGCCTAAGGACCTGCTGCAAGTACTTATTCACCACTTTAGAGTTCAAACTCATCTAGCATTCAAACTCATCTAGCACGCCTGTGGAAAATGCATAAATGCATTCTCAAAGCAAAGAGCGCCGCCCGGGCCAGAAGATAGATACGGCAATAGGCGACAGCAGTAGATGCTTGCTTCCAAAATATATTAAAGCAGTGCATCCCACCACACATCCCGCTCTTCCTTCCCCATCGTGCGGAAGGTACAGCAGTTCATGAGCCCCAAGCAACAGCCGCACGTGGTGCAAAGTATGAATAATTCTGCTTCTGAGAGACTCTTGTGATATGTACAAAGCACGCAGCAGAAAGGTGCTTGCGAAGTTGATGAGGCAGCGAAAAGTTCATCATGCGCTGCAGTGCAGACGGCGGCCCCCGTGTAGACTATGCCAGCAGGCCGAACCCATACTGCGAATATCTCTCTAAAGGGGAGTCCGTAACTATACAGGACGCGGCCCCCCCCACCTTTCGGACCCCACGAGGTCATCCTGCACCAATAATGTATCCTCATCAGTTCTTTGGGTTACAGACCAAGCCAAGCGATGCCAAGCCAGGTTTCTCAAAACTTCCGAGTTGCAGCGGTGCGGTCAAAACAAAACATATTTATTTTTTCAGATGATGATGATGATGATGATGATCATGCATGCAGCGCCGTGTCCTGTTAGCAAACCTGCTGCTGCTGCTGGTCCCCAGGCCGCCGCATCAAAGACCGCCGGCGCCATCAAAGGTCATCCTGCCGCAGCGGCTGCATGGCCAGCCTATCCGCCAAGTGACTGGTGTACCTGCGTTGCATAACGCAGAAATTAAGTAAGACTTATCACTGCTGTCGCTTCGCAGGCTGTTGTGGTGTTGGTGAGTCATGACACAGAACGCGATCATATTGACCTTGTAATTTTGACATGAATCAGTACAGCGGTAAGCTTATTGCGTGCTTGTTACTGCGACGCTGGTTGATAACGTACATGTGAGCAGCTGCGTCGTCTTCCTCGCCGTCGTCTTCATAGTTGAAGTCCGATATATCACAGAATGACCTGATCAAAAAATTATCAAAAGTCAAAGCCTTTCTTGTCTGCGCGTGGGATAGCTACTGGGCATCATGCGGCCCTGTGGTCATCGCTAAGCCTAAGGCTACCGTTGATAGCAAGTCGAGTACGTGTGAACACACTTTATAACTAGACTTCGCCTAGCATGAATTGCGAGATGCGTCGCGATGTTTGCATATTCGTCGCAGAATCCTAAGACCCACCTTGCATCCGAAGATTTCCTTGCTGTGAAAAATATTTCCAGCATTGCCATCCATGAGGTGAATCCCGGCCCAGTTGGCGCGTGCACTTGCAGAGTGCTCGCCAGGGACTGTGGCACCGTGCGTGATTGTGTGCGGGCCGAGGTCGGCGCTGGCGAGTTCAGGCAGACGACATGCAAGCGACAGTGACTAGCACTACACCGTAGAAATTGGGGCTGTTTAGATGTAGCGCGCAAAGCCGGAGCAGTTAGGCAAGACATGTTTGCTGCGCTTCTTTATTACAAGGCTTGGGCGAAGGAGGAGTCAATGCACCTTTTGAAGACTGTGGCTTCGATTATTAATAATTTTAAATATGATATCAAAAATTGCGCATGGGCGTTCATATACCGTTTCACCGCCTTCCGTTGGCTTCGCCAGCTGGCGTACGGCAACGAGCAGTTGAGTAGTTGCTCCTCAAAGGAAGGGAGCAGCTAGATCCCAAAGGACTACCTGCACCTCACATGTGGGTGTTTTCTGTAGTGATGAGAGATGAAAACATTCCCATCTGAAATTTCCCTAAGGCCTGTTTCGTCGAGACAGGGTGATAGGCGTCCGTCAAGTGGAAAGTGCAACCTGGGTAACCCCATTGCAGCAGACGTTGTCCTGAAGAACCTGATGCAACCATTTTGCAAGTATGTCTCCATAGGTCATGATCTAAGCTTCAAGCTCGAACGAACACACACGCTACTAGAAACAGCTACTGGGGGCAGGCTTGGCAAGCACAAAATTGGCCAATATGCAGAACTACTCTACTCAGTGTTACGATAAACTCCACTACCTTTCGGAGTTAGCGCTGCCCTGGGGCGGCCTCATTTGGGTTGTTGGGTTGAAGCTTGGCTGGTTGAACGGGTGACATAATCCAAGTTTCACAGGTCCAGAAGTTTCCCATACCAACACAGCATTTGCTAATCGTTTGCTATTCACAATGCAAAGTTGTGGAAGGTGCAATTCGTAAACATCTGGGTACTTTGGCTACGCGAGGGGCAAAGATACTCAATTGTGAGGAAAGTATATTCGAACAACCTGTCACATAGAACTTCAGTATCTGCCTTTAAGTCTGTACTTTTACAGGGCATGGCAGCGTTCCCCTGCTCCAAAGTTCCCAGCTTGGGAGCACGGGACCAGCCGAGATGCTGCGCACCCAAGACTCGCACATCCTCGTAAGCTTAGACTGTCAAGAATCTCCGCCTTTCTGGAATGCGTTCAGTAGGAATGCAACTTACCATTTTCTCTCGCCTACCAAGGATCCAAGGGCCAAACCAAGTTTCCTCTGCACGAAGTAGTGTTTCATAGCAACACAGCGATTAAAGAAATATTCATGATGTTTCTGCGCTTCCGTTGCTTTGGTCCAACTCCTTGTCAGCAGGGAATCGCACGCTTGCACGCATCTCTCGGTCAGGACTTGGCAACTCCGCCGACCCTTCCTTAATGGACGGATCTCAACCATCCTAGCCGCAAAACGCGGTGACGATGAGCCGGAGTGGGACGATCGCAACGATCGGCAGCGTCGCAGCGGGGGCCGCAGCCGCGGCGGTGGCTTTCAATTTTCTAACCGGCGTGGCATATACCGTGTGCAATACAACGACTATGAGGCAGAGGTGAGGAACATGACGGTAGTGTGCGCAGTGGCGAACCGTACGACTGGAAGACCTCCTAGGTATGCGCTGTCCTGTTGTAGCACACGCGCTCAGCATGCACAACAAAGGAGCAACACACCTCAAAACTCTCTCCCCCCAAAACCCCATCCTCCCGGCAACGTTTCTGTTGACTAGCAAAGGGATTCACAGCTGCCTTGCCTTCTCCTTAGCAGCCACGGGGCTGCACATCTCGACGGATAACGGTATCCACCTTTTTCATGATGGGCATCTGGAATTATCCTAGCCCAATTTCTCCGATCCGCCCCAAGGCTGCGAGGTGTCGCATCAGTTGCCACACCAAAAACAAATCGCTGACCCGCAGTCCTCTGTAATCCAGGGCCCCCACAATGTCCGCACCGTCGTTATGGACACCGCGGTCGTACTGTCGTATGCAGGTACGACAGGATGAAGCTTGGAAGCTGCTGGTGCCGCTGGTGGGCGGTCTGGTGCTTTCTGCCGCCGTCATAGGTGGGAGGTGCTAAGCTCGGTGTGATAGGAGGGCGACCCGGCACGATGTAGTGGTAGTAGTGCAGCTGGGCTCGTCCTGTCCGTTACGTCATTGCATGGTGATGTCCTTATCCTGATCTTTATCCTTTCCTTGAATCTCTGTAAACCTTGACCTGCTTCACTTTGACCAATCTCATCTCCTTTTACCATTATCGTTCTCAGCCGGCCCTTTCTTGGCAAGCAAGCCCTTCCTAAACAACGCTTACCAAAGTCACCCCCTCGCCAGGAATCGAACAGAAAACATCTTCAGCAGTCTCTTCGGCTAGCCTGATGGATCTACTGCGGTGTACATGTAAAAAAGCTTTCACCTTGAACCCCATGTTTTCTCTTTCTTCCTCCTCCTCCCCCTCCTCCTTTTGTGCTTCCCTCTTGTTTTTGTTAATGTCTTAACCCCCGGAATAACTACTGAGACACCGGCGGAGATCATTTCTGATTTCCTTGCAGATGAGGTACCCCACACACATGCACACACCACCACCACCACCAACAACAACAACAACACACACACACACGCACGTCCCCCCCCACCAGTGTTTCTCAAACTTTTTCACCATTGGTAATGTTTTAGTGACCAAGTGGTTACTCTGGGGGGTTTTTCCGTGGTAACTGCTTTACATTTTTCCCCGGCGAGTATGCTGAACAGAGAACAGCCCTCCAGAACCACCTTGCATCCGAAGATCCTAACTTCACAACGCTCATTCACGGCTTTGAACAACCAAGACGACGCTTGTATATTGATTTCTTTATTTACACAGATATATGTACAGATAGAACCCAAACCATGGCTACTAAAGCAGCACACACCGCAGCTTGACACGTCAAGTTTTGTTCTGACTTCATGCTAGCGCCAACTTCTCACTGCCCGTGGTGGTCCGCCCCGCGGTAGGCAGCCGACTCGTTCCAGTGCTGCAGCGCTGCCTTGTGCGGAAAGCTTTTTAGGTGGTCACTACTACCGGGGGGGGGTCTGTGGCCCCCGATTTCCAGGCGACCACCTGGCTCTACTACTGGAAGCTGACTCCAAACATATATCCCTAGTGACAGACCACCTTCTGGAGAGGGAATTATTTTCTCGGTAACCACTTGGTCACCACCTAGTGACCACTTTTAAAACACTGCCCCTCACCACACAACGCAATTCTCATCTCCGCCATCCCTCAGCACCTTTCCACAAACCCTCCCCCCTTTTCACTTTGGATAGCGGTAACTTAGCTCTCTTTTGAGCTTCTCGCACACAGTCCCCCCCATTTCCCGGCTCTGAGTCTCCCATTCCCCCCCCCCCACACACACACCACCACACACCACTAGGTGGGTCGACTGTTCCCCCCCCCGGGGGTTAACACCACTCCGCCCAAAATACCCACTTGTCGCCCCCACCCCCACTTGTCGCCCCCAGGGCCCCTAATCATCGGCCTGGCGTTCACTGCCGTAGCGGTGGGCGCGGCTCTGTCCGCCGGGGCACTCTTCACGTCGCTCTTCCTGCCATTTTTCGTACTCATCGGCATGGGTGCGCTGTTCTTTGGGGGCCTTACGTTCTCCGCATTTGCTACCCTTGGTACGGCACTGCTGCTGCCCAAGCTGATTGCGCTGGTGAGGCACTGAGGGAGCGGGATCGACGTGCGAAGGAGTTACAGAGAAGCCTTATCTGCCGAGTGGAGTACCAAAGCCCTGTAATAACTATCTGTAAAAAAATGGTCAATGGGAGTTTCGAAGAGGGTCCCACCCCGAGGAAACACCGTTTCTGTATCTTGTTGATCAGTGGTAGCAGTAGTGGTAGTAGTAGTACGGCGGGTAACGGGTACGGATACGGGTACGGCATGATGTGTGATGTCACAACCTCGCAGAATCACTGCTACACCACTTTATCGCCCCTCACCATCACCACCACCATCATCACCACCATCATCACCACCACTACCATCACCATCATCAGCAGCAATAACGACAACAACAGCACCGGCACCGCGCCCGGCAGACCTCCACCTCAATCATCGCCTCCCCCTCCTTTTCCCCATTCTCCCCTCGTTCTCGACCTCGTACTCGTCCTCGTACTCGTTCGCGCGGACGTGGGTCATCTGTCCCTTCACATCGCGGCATCCCCTCACAACCCAACCTGCAGCACACCAACACACACACTTCGCACCGCACAAGCGAAACCTGCTCTAACCTGACCCGCTCCTCCGCACACAACACAACACGACACAGGCAGTGGTAGCAGGCGGTGTGGGTCTGGGCGCTATGGCTGCGTCCTTGTTCCTCAAATCGCCATCAGCCAGGAAGGTTAAGGGTAAGTGGCAGTTGGTTAGGAAGTGGTTGGGAAGCGGTTAGGACGAGTACCGATGTAGCGAATGGCGCACAATAGATAGCGGATGTGCTCTGAAAGGGCATTGTGTCGTTGTGAACGCAGTTTCGGAGCGCCGTGGAGGGGAAGCGAGGACCGACGGCCGCACGATTGATGTGGTTCCAGAACCGGAAACGGAGGCCGACCCGGAGGTGGAGAGGTGCGTGGGTGTACGGCAGTGTGCGTGCCTGTGTTTCAATGCGACATTCTAACACGAGAGGAGTAAGAGGAGTAAGAAGGTGCGGGTTTCGGAGCGAGCGAACCTACTATTTGCCAGTCCACACGCCTGTCTTTGGGGAAGGTCTTGCTTTCCAAAAACGTTTCCACGAAACTTATCAAAAGTACGGCACAGGTAGGTGAGATTGGACAACGAATGTACGGGAGAGCTCTCTTGGCTTTTTGACAGCAGTGGCGAGGAAGATGCTGAGGAGGGAGAAGGGGAGGAGGCGAGGTGGATGGATTCTCGTGGTTGATGCAACGTCGGGTTTGTGCCGCGGTGATATTACAGAAGTATACGCACTGAACTCCCTGTTGCTACAGCCGTACAACCGTACTGTCGTACTGTGACATGCGAGTGTAGGCAGCTTCGCGAATTTGACGAGCTATTGGCGGGACGGGAGGAGCAGCGGCAGCGTACGGAGCAATGGAAGTCAGGTGGCGGCGGTGGCGGCGGTGGCGGCAGCAGCAGCCGCCGCCGCTTCTGAGATCATCCAAGCCAAGAGCTCCTCCGAATACGGGTGCTACGGGTGCTACCCACGGGTACCTGTTGATGCTGTGCTGTTGCCGTCAGGGTTAAACAGGTCACGTTTCGTCTGGAGGCTGGCTGTGGCTCTCGAGTGATGTGTATGTACGAGGGCCTTACGAGTGATGTGTATGTACGAGGGCCTAGCCTAGATCTTCAGTTTGTGTTGCACGGTGTTCGGTTGGAACTGTTGGGTGGCAGGCTGTTGGCTTGGATGATAGCTAACAGACCAACCGAGAGGATTGAGAGCCGATTGACTGATGCTCTGAAATGGGTTGTGTGGAATGCTGCGGTGTCGTTATTTGATGGCTGTTGTTGCTGCCAAGGTCAGCTAGATTGGTACGGTTTTATTGTTTAACCTTACTAGGGTTTTAGCCTTTCTTAGGATTGTAGGAGACGAGGAGGCTGCTGCTGTTATTGCTCCTTGTCCGTTGCTGCTGCTGCGGCCGCTGCTGCTGCGGCTGCTGCTGTGGCAAGTGTAGCTGAGGATGGCAGGCTGGCAAGAACTCTCTTTCCCTCCGGCTGGGGAACAGGAGGAACAAGAGGAGGAAGAAGAGCTGTTAGGGAGGACTGCATTTCCTGCACTGGGCTGACAAAGTCAGTGATGGGTTCCAGTTTGGATTTGGAGTTAATGTTGGCGTTATTGGCAGATATGGATAGAGGCGTTGGTGCTCGTACTATTGTAGCTGCAACTCCAGCTGCGGCTGCGGCTGCGGCTGCGGCTGCTGCTGCTGCTGCTGCATCGGCCCTGACTCGGCCGTGCTGATAATCGCATATTCCCTACTTTCCGAGGCGCTTGGTACTCTGGTAAAATCATTATGAACAAAAAAATGAACAAAAAAATCAACATACTGATAGCGTTACTATCCTCGGGGCAAGTGAAAAAGTAGTTTAGCAAACAAAGTACAAAAGCGGTTGGGAAGTTGAATACATACGAAAAGCAGCCGCTGTTGAGCACTGCTCACTTGTTTCGTGGGCATCTCTGGAGCACCACCCTGCATGTGACAGGGGTTGGGCAGCTTGATGTCCCAGTCCCGCAATCGGGGAAGCATGAAATACATCTTCTTTGGATACAGTGTCTTGTAAGTAAGGTTCTCTGCCGTTCGTTGCTTAGTTAGCTGGCCGCAGCCGTTATGTGGCCAACACATGCTAAATGTTTTCATCATTCCTCGTTTAGCACACCGTAAGCTAATGCAGTTTCGTTTATGTTGCTGGGCTTTGGAGGCAAACAGAGCACGAAGGGGCATGCACAACGTCCCCAGGGAGCAGCGGTTTTGCCGCTGTTGTGGTACTAATAGCCAAGTCGGGGATGAAAAACACGTGTTATTGAAACGTCCAGCCTATAATGATAATCGTGCTGAAGAGGGATTCGATTATCAACAGAGCATGTTGGAGGCCATGAAATGGGAGCCAGCACCTCTGGCGAGGATGTTGGAGCATATGTGGGCTCTCCACAACTCAGTTATCCCCTTTGGCCGCTAGTCTGGGCTGATAGTTCGGTGTTTCCTTTTCTCCGTGGCTTTTAGGCGTTTAGGTTTTGCCCTTGGGCTTTGGCTCGTATGGGTAGTATGAGGTCACGCACCCCCAACCATGTAACAAACAGACATACAGTTGTATGTAACACACCCACCCGTACATACATACGTACATATAGATGGGTCAGGCATTCTGTGCCACCTGCCCACAGAGTACACAGTTGCAATAACTTCCCTGTAGTAGCTGTTACACAGTACGGCTATGCAAACACGCGATAAGCGCGACCGCCAGCATCTCGAGATGCCTTTTCAGCGGCCAGCTACTACATTACCAGACTCTTACTTTCCAAACATTCTACTCATACCACAATCAAAAACACTTTGTTGGCCCAGAGCGCCCCCCTTTCTGAAAGCAGTACGCCCAGTGCAGATCTGCAAGCACCTTGCAGCCAGCGGCTCCAACAGCAGTCCAACAAACATGCAGTCCCCTAAAATTACACACAAACAATACTAGAGCGGGGACAGGGAACACGGGGATTATTTTTCCACAACCGAGCTAAAGCTGCAGCACGCAAGGCTGTGTATGTACGAACATGCCGGTGGTGTGCAACGACTGGGTTTACCTAGGTGGTATTACCCAGCTTCCGCACAATGCACTTTTTTGGGACCGTACTCGTTGAAACTGGTCCGACATGAAACACTTTCCTAATTTCTTTCTAGCAGTTCCCCTGCCCTGCAATAGCCCGCTTGGTGCACTTTCGTGTGGATTCCAGAGATGCATACGAAACGGATGCACCCTCCGGTTCCCGAAGCTCCTCCGCACCGATAATCGGGTTTCATCGGCTTCACCATCGAATCCTTTTCGATGTCAGCTGGCGCCTCTGTCGTTTCTGGCAGGGCATCTTACGTGCTCCTTTCGAAGCATGTCAGCCCCGGATGACTGGTGGTCGCGGTCTTGGGGGCGGTGGCAGCGGCGGCAGTGGAACAATGAACTTAGCAGCGACGGGGGCGATCTGTTCTCATGGCGGTCAAGGGTGGTGGGTACACATGACTGCTGTGCGGGCAAATACGGATCGTGCATGATCGTGGGCGTGGCGGGCCCGATATGTACACATTATTTTCTTTTAAATCAAACTTTGCTTTCATTTGCGTTTCATTTATCTGTACGGATATCCTCAAGGATACGAATAGACACACGCATAGACATGCGGCCCCTATTCTCCCATATAGCACCCGTACCCAACTCTCCCGGCTCTCCGCTGATTTGGTTGCTTTCCACGCCCCTTTCTACCCCCCCTCTTGGCGCCATTCGGACGTCCGGCTTCAGATCACAGCAATACTGCTGGACGGCCATAATCTGGAGTTTTACCATTGGCCAGCTGGCGATGTGAACGGGCTCTTGGAGCGAGTCCGCAACACCAGCAACATAATGGCAGAGGGCTGGAGCCATGATGCGAGGGTGCACTGCCTTGATGAGACGGAGGCGAGCTTCAAGTATTCGGGAGTGCTGTTGCGCTGCATCACCGCGACTGAGTGAACGGGGGGAAGGAGGAGGGGAAGGGAGGGGAAAGGGGTGGAGTTTGGTGAGATGTGAGATCTGGGAGTGCTGTGAGCAGTGTATGGCGCTGCGTACCCCTAAATGCTTGAGCTAGATACGTTTTCTGTCCTTGCGCTGGACCCTCCTGCTGAGGAAGTCATATGTAGGAGGCCTCCAGCCAAACCCCCTCAGCAGGACATGTAAAAATAGAACTATTGGCAACATATACATGTGCCCACTGTACATTCAAGGGTCGCACGTGAGGAGGGGGTTTGAGGAGGTGTGACCGCTTGTGCTGATGAGAGGTGTACTGTTGTGAGGAGGTGGTGGTGGTGGTGGTGGTGGTATGGAGGCGGCGGGAGGTGAGCGGAAGAACTGAGCCGTGCTAGTGTGTGCTGTGCTGCGTTGTTTACTGGAGTGTGTCTTCAAGCTACTCTTGCAACAAGCTACTACTCTTACTGTGCACCAGGTACTTCTGGACCTGGCAATTTTTACACATGCGCCCATCGCTTGACTCTCCCTGATCTTTAACGCTCAGCGCACCAGTGGGCGATTTACGGTTAGGCGGTTCTCGTTGACATGATGCACGTGGATCCAAGGGGAAGACCAGAAGCCGGCGGAGCTTTCGCGCGCACTTCGCTGTGTAGCTGGTGCTGATTACAGCGATCCATTCGAGATCTTGTTTGGATTGGGCGACGTCTACGGTCAACCATGTTGTGTCTTCCAAACCAATATGTTTGTTGGATCGGAAAACCACAGCGCCAATCACCCTTCCCCGGCTTACCGATGCCGAGTTAAGGCACAGCACAACTTGAGCATGTGCGTGTGTCACCATGGCCTTAGCCAAGCATGCCCTCCGCGGCCCCGATAACCACTGTCACGGCAACGCGCACCCATCCCATGAGGGGACCGATAAGGAAACAAACCCTTGCTGCGGAGCAAATTCGTTGGGAAGTCATATCGACAGGCATGCTGTTCCGAAGGCCAGATACACGTTTAAGTGGGTCAGCTTAGCGCCTTGACAGGCCGCTCTGGCCCCGACCAGTTTACAGCAGTCTCCACAGCAAGAGCCTGATGTTGCAGCGTTGCTCCGAAGCCATACAGAACTGACAACTATGGCACAACTAGTGGCCGGGAGGAAGCTGCCTTCAATGGGAACAGGCTAATCCTAAGCCTTCAAGCCTGTGTGCTTCGGCGCTATATACTATGGAGTAATTCCTTCCCAGGTTGTGATCTGGGTTTCGGAAAGGAGGGGGGGAAGCGGAGGGACTAGACAACCGGGAACCCAACACTGGCCAGTTAAAGAGTATTACCGCGGGAGCCAGTCTGTGGACGAGGGACCTAAGTGCTGCCCTGAGTCCTCCTCCGCACCTGCGAGGTGGTCACCTGACCTGTAATGTCAGCAACCGGTGGAAAGACGCGGGATATGCACGGCGACAGCGGCACCTTCTAAATGACCATTCGCCACGCATACAGTGCTGCAAATTTGCCATACTGCAGTTCTGCGCTCCATTTAATTCCGTTTAGACTGTAATCGCCGGTTATTGTGGTGTCGTCGTACAGAATCAGCAGCAGTAACGGCAAGAACAGCTACGCACGTGTGTGGAGAGGTCCGAGCCGTGTGCGGCACCGTGCGGAGTGCACGCGGGATCGGCGTAAATCCTCGATCGCGGAGGAATGGAGCCGATAGGAGACGATGCGCGCGATCAAGCCTTTCGACTGCCTTAGTTCCCGGACAGACCGGATCGTAGTGAAGCCTTCAAACTTGGCTTGAAATGGCTTTTACTAAAACATGGTCGTGTGATCCTATGGCCACCAGAAAGGACTTTTAAATGCATGACTCATGCTAAGGCAGACACCACCGTCATGTGTCATCAGACCGGCTAAAATGTTCGTCATGATGCATTATGGGGTATTGGCAGAAAACGGAACGGATGATGATGTTGATTGTAGAAGCACGCCCTTTCGTACCATACGGCGCAGCAACGTTACGGCAGCGACGCTTATAACGTTTTATCCATAGCAACCAGGATAAAGAAACAGTTTTCATGTCGTAATCTGTCTTTAACTCCAGCGATTTAACTTTAAAGCGCTACCGTTTTTGTGTACTGTGGCAAGGGCTTTGCACGCCAGTATGGTTCCCTGCTGTCCTTTTTAAGGTTGAAGATGCGATCACTTTGTTGCTAACCGCAGAGCTGATTCACGTGTGTCCCATATGACGAGCAAATCAACCGCCTGGTGACCTATCCCTTGCCTCGCAAGCTATCGTGGGGCGCCTTCTACAAAGCATTCGTCCTTGCCTGAACCTAATCTTGTTGCGACATATTTAGGGCAAATAATCTTTACTATTTTCAGCAACTTCCACACCGACACCGACTCTTCAAAGTCGTGCAGGAAGGTGCGACAGCGTTACAAACACGATACAGATATCCAGTCGTAGAGCTAGCCAAGAGCATTAATCTCCACCTTTTGTGCGCTGCGTGAACGGCGTCAAAAAGTGAAAGCAAGCAGCGAGAGCGCAGTTGACTTTGAGAAAAATGAGCAATCAAGGTCCACTGTCAACTGGAGGCTGTACATCCGAGCAGTTTGCGGAAGTCGTGAAGGCGTTGGATGGTGATTCCGCCGCCGCGACCGCGCTTTGTCAAGTATTCGCTACCAGTAACCGAACCGAGGAGATTGCCTTCGGCTTGAACACCGTGTTCATGGTGCTGAGTGGGGCTCTGGTATTTATCATGGCGAGTTTCTGTCAGCCTTGCATCGTACTGGAGTTGAGTTTGCAAAATCCAGGTGTAGCGCCGTAACATGTAATCAGGAATGCAAATTGATGCTATGTAGCATGGAGGCTTTGCAATGCTGGAGGCTGGGGCGATCCGAAGCAAAAACGCGGTGAGCTGAGCCCCAAAGGCCCTCCCGCGCCACCGCGCTGCAATAACCCTGCTAACCTTCACATATGATAACCATAATACAGTCTCATCAACGAAATATTATAAATATCCATTATCAATAGCTATCACCGGAACTGAGTCTTTCCCGCCAGTTGCTAACTTCGTCCCACCGCGTCCCACCACCTCCTTGCCGCGTCTCCTATGGCCGCCGCGGATTTCTCAAACGACCCAGATGAATATCCTGTTACAAACAGTTTTGGACGGCGCCGCCAGCGCAATCATGTGGTATCTTGTTGGTTTTGGATTTGCGTACGGCATCGGGGACCGGCCAAACGGATTTGTAAGTTGGAAAATCGTTGACAGTTAGTGGCAAGATGGGATGGTTACCAGGGGGATGGCCTCCAAGCGGTCGAATGGCGGTTATAGCTGCCAGGCAGGAGGGGTTCTGGAAGGCTGTTCTGCAGATGTACATTCGTCACGTTGGCAGGTCGAACGTGCAGTTCGACTGCCAGCCACAACCGTCACAAATTTGACGCGGCACCACGCTGGTTTAGGTTTTCACTTTGCACATGCTCGTGGTGGTGGTTGTGTGAGTTGTTCAGGTTAAAACATTACTGTTGTGAGGTCGTTGTCTCTCATGCAGTAAAGGAAGCGGGTGTGTGGTGGTTGTTAAACAACTGTCGAAACGGCACCTAAAACGGGTGGTAGGCATGAAGGGATGTTTCTTATCACGTTGCACATCGAACTTGCAACGTAACACATCCCTTGAGACACACACACATACATACATACATACACACACATTCAATCTCAATCCGACGCCATCGCGATATCCTCACCCCGCCCCCCCCACTACCACCATAACCCCAACCCTGCATTCTCTGCCCATGTCGTACATCCGTATTACAGATCGGAGATGCGCTGTTCGGTTTGGCTCGGTATAAATCCCACGAGACGGTTACGGATGTACGGGGCGATTGGACGAGCTGGTTTTTCCAATGGGCCTTTTGCGCTACAGCCGCCACGAGTATGTGAAAGCGGGGGCCTGGCGGGCCGGGAAAGGGCGGGCAGGCGATGGGAGGGGTGGGGAGGAAGGTAAGGGGACACTACCCTTAGCACCTACATTTTAATACATCGGTTTAGTTTTGTGTTTCGGTTTTGTTAAAAAAGGTTTTTAGGTTGCGGTTCCTTTGTTGATGTTGTTTTGAGGTGGTTTTTCACCCTCCCCTTCCGGCTCCAATTCCACTATTGATTCTGATTCCTAAGGCTCTAAGGCTCTAAGGCCCTTCCTCCCTTCCGTCTGTTTTATATTCACACGTACCCCGCACCTGCCCGGCCCCCTCCATATTAAACCTCCTTCCACCTGGCTGCCCCTCACCGCCGCTTCGGCCCCTCCCCCTCCCACTCGTCCCCGTCCCACTCCCACTCCCACTCCCACTCCTCCCACTCCCACGCCCACTCCTCCCCTTTTCTCCCACTCCTCCCCCTCCCACGCCCACTCCTCCCACTCCCACTCCCACTGCTCCCCCTCTCCCTTCCGGTGGTGATAGTCCCCGCCGGGGCGGTGGCCGAGCGCTTCAACTTCAACGCCTACCTGGGTACGAATGTGACCCACAGGTCCAAAATGTGGAAACAATACAACAAACATGCAGCCGTACGGCAATACGGCAGTACGGATCGCAGCCCAACTGCCAGCATTCTCCTTATGCACACACACGTCGCGCTGTTACACCTGTCATAGCACACATGTATCCGTATCTTGCCTGCTGCGGTTGCTATCTATCACTGATGACGCACTTACAATGAATTATGAAATTCGAACCTGTAAATCGTTGTTGTAGTTCTTGTGGGGTTCTTGGGTTTTCCTGAGCTCCCTTCATGTGTGTGTGTGTGTGTCACACTTGGGATTACAGAGGTGCACATCACACCAACAGACATCAGACCGACAGCAACATACGGCAGCAACTCCCCACTGTTGACTGTTTGACAGATTCAGTTCTCAGTTAGACTCACATTTCCCCTCCTCCTCCTCCTCCTCGTACTGCTTTGCAGGCTACTCACTCTTTCTGGGCGGTTTCGTCTATCCGGTTGTCGTACACTGGGTATGGTGCCGTACCGGCTGGCTAGGGTACGGCACCGACGCCCCCCTTTTGGGAGCGGGCATGATTGACTTTGCGGGCAGCGGTGTCGTACACATGACGGGGGGCCTGGCGGGTGAGTAGAACCCGGGGTTAGTTGGTGTCGGTTAAGTCGGTTGGATGGGGGAAGCCTCTGCCGAATTACATCCTGTGGTGAATGGACTGGGGCCAGTGCTGACTAAGTTAGTTACCCTCCTAACTACTTAGGGTTTTAGGGTGCTACATGCTCAGTGCAACAAAAGTCCCACCTCATAACCGAGAGGCACAAGGGAGAACGAGTCCAATGTATGTCTTTTTTTGATATATTTGTCAATTGCCTCTGGTTTCCTAGGGTTTCACGACGTCGTTAGTTTTCAGCTTAACTGCTTTTGATAGCCCATTATGTCGTCAAACTTGTGACGCCCTGGTGTACGACTTTTAAAAGTCGTACTGCTGTTATCTCATATCCTTGTGAAGATCAGGTTTATGGTCGCATATGTGGCCTCCTCGCATTTCCTCAGGGCTGATCGGCGCCACGATGGTGGGTCCAAGGATGGGTCGCTTCGACTCCAACGGTCAACCGGTTCACATGCCAGGCCACTCGGCCATCCTCGTCGTACTAGGTACCGTACTTCTGTGGTTTGGCTGGTAGGTGTGGGTGGCGGCGGCGGTATTGCTGGAATTGGTGGCGCGGGGGCGGTGTGTGTATGTATGTATGTATGTATGTATGTATGTATGTATGTATGTATGTATGTATGTATGTATGTATGTATGTATGTATGTATGTATGTATGTATGTATGTATGTATGTGTGTATGTGTGTATGTGTGTGTAGCTGTATTGATTGTGTGTGTGGGGGAAATCATACAGAGGAATTCAAAAACATTCCCGGCATCTAAAGTCCTTTGGGGGGAATGGGGGTTTGGGGTTGTAGGGGGGATTGGGATTTTGGCCAATTGGATAGTAATAGCAAGTTGTGGTCATGTGGTGGTGTGTGGGAGGGAGGGCGGGGAAATCATCAAATGGGATTTGGAGTGAGCACGGGTTTTCTGGATCTATACGGCTTCTTCGGGATTCTTGCCGACAGTTGTGGAGATGGAGTCGGGTAGCATTGCTTCGTCGCCCGGGGGTATTGACGGGAAGGTTGGCTCTGAGATTGTCTATAGTAGCTTTATGCTATAGTATATTGCTACTGCTCTCGGCTGTTGCTGATGCCTACCACAGCTACAGCCGCTGCTACTGCGACCTCGACTGCTGCTGCCCGGGAACCCCTCGTGGTTGGCGGTTGCTGTTCCGGTCGGTGACAAGTAACCGTTTACGTCGTACTCATAGTACACATACATGCACACACGCACATGAGGGATAGTAACCGCATCGTTGAAATGAATTTTGAAGTACGGTGTATGTACGACTGTCTGTACGGCAGGTACGGCTTCAACCCAGGCAGCGCGCTCGTGGCAGACAACGCCAACGTGGCTAGTGTGGCTGGTCGGGCCGCTGTCACCACGACATTGTCCGGGGCCGCGGGGGGCCTTACCTGCCTGGTGATCGCGGTGTGGCGGGGTCGGGTAAGTTCCGATATGGGGTTGAGGGGGAGAGGCTGGCACTCGAGCGGCGGGTTATATAGGGCTATAAGAGGCTGCCGTACACACCACACACGCTACATACGCAGAAAGTGCGAACTTGACTGACATCTGACAATCATCCATCAACCTCGTGCATTCGTACATTCATGCATACGCTTATCCATTCAATGACAAATTTACCAACGAATTGTCGTACATTGCCCTAAATGTCGTACATGTTGCTTGCTGTTTGCAGTCTTGGGATTTGACGTACCTTTGCAACGGAATGTTGGTTGGGTTCGTATCCATCACTGCGGGTTGCTCAGTCCTGGAGCCCTGGGCCGCGCTGTTGTGCGGGGGTGTGGCGGCTGTGCTCTTTGAGGCCGCATGCGAGGGGTTATTGAAACTGCGAATCGATGACGTTGTGTCGGCGGGCCCTATGCACGGCGTGTGTGGCGCGTGGGGTGTATTGATCGTGGGCTTGCTAGCGAAGAAGGTGCGGGGCTTTGCGTGCGTGCGGGTGGGGTGGGGGTTGGGTGGGTGGGTGGGTGGGGGTTTTGGTCCTGATGGGAGAGGGGGCGGGGGCAGCAGGTGGTGATAGAGAGACACGATATGTCGTACAGTGTTTGTTGGGGGGAGTGCGGGTAAGGGGTGGGGGGAAAGGGAATGCGCCCGTAGAGACAGGTAACTTAGGGTCTTTTTCAGCGGTGATGGAAATGCCGCAGGAGAGGGGAGAGGGGGGGGAAGGGAATGGGTTTCAACAAGGGGGGGAGGAGGGGACCGGGACGCGGGGCAAGCATTCGAGAGAGTGTGTGTGTGTGTGTGTATTTTGCCGTGGCATCAAAACCTGCATTTGAAGTTTATCATTAGTCATTAACGTCGTTAGGGTTTCCCGCTAGTGCCTTGACTGATGAGCTTGGGTCCTGACGTGATGTGATATGTACGACAAATGCAGGAGTACGTCGAGCAAACCTTCGACAGGGACATCTACCCCCATGGTCTATTTTACGGCGGTGGCGGCAAGCTGCTGGCGTCACAGGTACGTGAGGTAAAGAGCTGCTTATTCCGCTTTCCGTTTCCTAGGGTTTTACGGTTTTAGAGTTTTCTTAAGGGTTTTAGGGGCTGTTAATGTTTTGATGCAGTGTTATCAGACAAAGAGGTTGCTGTGAAGGCAAATGCCGCACCTCAACCTCAGGAAAACCTATGCTTCTGCAATTTGGAAGGACGCTAACGTTAAACATTGGAATAGAGACGTTTACGGGAAATCGGGACAGAGGACTGCTTTGCCCATGTGTCCAAAGTCGTACACCGCCGTACATTTACCAAGCTCCTGTGAACTTGTGCCGTACAATGTACTGCGCACCTGTACCTTCTGCTCACGACATACGTTGACATTCCAACGGGCTGTCTACGGGCTCGCTTGGACTGACCTCTTTTTAACACATGTGCAACAAATGTACCAAACAAGGTCTCGGTGCCCGTACATGCTCGTACGTTCGTACATCCGTACAGGTGATTGGCATACTGGCAATTGCCGGCTGGGTGTTTGGAACCATGGGTCCGTTCTTCGCGGCGTTCAGGGCCGTCGGCTCTCTGAGGATTAGCGCCGAAGACGAAACTTTGGGGCTTGACGCTTCTAAGCATGGGGTAAGGAATCTGGGTAGGGCAGGAGTACGGAAGGCGATGCCGTCGTGTCGTACTCTGGATCCACTGAATTGCGTTGTGTCTCACATATCGTGTCGAGTTGAGTCGGCCGCTTCATTTCCCATCACTCCCTCGTCATGTACGACATGACGATCTTATTTCCTGGGAAGAACAGATTAGCAGTACAGATTCTCGACGTAGTTAGCTCGCAGGGCTCGTGACAGCTTCAGTGTTGCAAATTGTCGATTATTGTTACAATAGTTGGAAGGAGAATAACTTATTTAAATTTAATGGAACTTACATACTTACATCACCACATGTAATGGCTCCTGCAAACGTGGACGAACTAAAACCATTTTAAGTTGTTAAAACCCATAAAACCTTAATAATATACGAGAGCGTTCAAGCCCGCCCCTTCGACGCCATCTGCGCAGGGATCCGCCTACAACATGCCGACAACCCTACATCAATTTATTGGTGGTTTGGGGGACATGACAGGTACTGGGGATAATAGCAATCACGGCAGGTACTCGTTGAATCCACACCTATACAGTACTGGCGGCGGCAGGGCCGTCGGCGACTCCATCATGCGCGCCATGACCATCGGCGGCGGCGGTGGCGGCGGCGGCACTGTCTTAGGCGCCGGCGGCAGCAGCGCCGCCGTCGCTGGCCCCGCCAATGGCACGCCAGTCGGTGCCCCGTTTGGCGGCCTGTACAACATCCTGGGCACTAATGCCCCGTCGCCACCAGCGTCGCCAACAGCAGGACAGTCGTACGGCTGCCGTACAGGTGCCGGCAACGGGTTTGAAGCCAACGCGGGCAGTGACGTGCCCCGCAATTTCGAGCAAGGCGCCCCTGCAGTACGACTCCACGTCTCTGTTGGTCGTACGGTTTCGGGCCAGTTGATGGACGTGGGGCGGCGGCCGGGCGACACCAGCGTTGGCGGCGGTGCCGCCATCGCTGCCGTACCGGCTGCGTCAGCAGCTTCCGTCTTGGATTCCAAAGCCGATGTGCAGCTCAGTGTCGCAGCTGATGCTATCCGGACCCGAAGTGGTAGTGGAAGCCGGAAGGGGCGAAGCGGCTGGGGAGCGGCCAGCGGCAAGGCCGCAGAGGCGCCTGCTGAAGGCAGCGGTGCCGTCGCCACGACCTCCTCCCCGCCGCGTGAGCTATCAGCTGCCGCAACAGCAGCAACAACAACAACGGCGGCGGCTGCAGTAGCTGCCGCTACATGACAATATCATCGTGGTTTCGGGGCCATGGTGACATATATAGCCGCTGCGCCACGCATCTGTGCATTCACAGCATCCCCCAACCGGCCCTTACACGGGCTTCACGACGGCGGTGACGGCGGCGGCGGCAGCCCACTACCTATAAGATGACGGCAGCGTCGCCGCCATCAACGCTTGCCGTTGATTGCCTGATTAGGTGGTAATCCAGATCCGGATCGGGATTCAGATCCAGATCCAGATCTGCGCACACCGCTAAACAAAGGCATCAGCGCACAAAGGCTACCGCAAAAAGGAGCCAGCCTCATTTCCAGGGCCTTGTCTCACGGTGTTGTAGAGTACATGAAATTACCAGGCCAGGGGGCCGTACGGCGCCGCGCTACTGCTGACGTCATCGTCACCGTGGCCATCGCCGCGGTCAAACCTGACGGCGGCGGCGGCGGTGGCGGCAATTGGCTGTCCTTGGAGCCGCCTGGCAAAAGAGCATCAGCCGGGGACTTAAGCATTGAGGAAACATCGAAACAGTAAAAGAATTCTGTTAGTAGCACTAGCACTAGCAGTAGCTGTTATCGCCATGGAAGAGGGAAAAGGGAAAAAGAAGCCGCTGTACATATTTGCATGTATGTATGTATGTATGTCTCGTGCGATATCGGTGGGATGACCGAAAGATCTTATCCACCACGGTTCGAGTGTAGCGCGTCTCCAACAACAACACAGCATTGCTGACAGCACTTTGCTGTGCAGTCGAATGAGGACCGCACACAGTAATTCGGTTGCTGATTGTTGGCCGTTGGCTTTGTGGTCAGTTGGCCGTTGCCAGTTGCTGGTAATTGACCACAGAGGGTTGTTAAGACGCAAAATTTTAATCCGTGCGTGCATGTATCTTCTTGCGTGCGCGCACGTACGGTATCGTGCCAATGCACACAGACAGACAGACACACACACTCGTGGGCGCATTCGCGTGTTGGAGATGTCGGTGGCGCTGGCAGCGTTGCCCGTGTCGTCAGACCTTACAATGACTCTTGGATTGGTTGACGCATTCACCAGCCCTCGTGATGTGGCTTTGCGAGGCTTTTCCTTTCACGGGCGTCTCAGGATGATGATGATGATGATGATGATGATGATGATATCAAACCAAAAAACGGCCATTTCAGGCTGTGAAACTGGTTAGAGTTGGTGAAAAGGGCATTGGCTTGTTTCGCCATCGATAAGGCTCACAGTTATACGGCCCCACGGATGACTTGAATCTTCTGGTTGTTGATGATGACATCAAAGCTTTTGATGGGCCTACACTCATAATGGGCCGTAGGCCCATGAAAAGAGTGTACGGCCCGTGCAGGATGAGTGTACGGCCCGTGCAGGATGAGTGTACGGCCCGTGCAGGATCGGTATACGGCCCGTGCAGGATGGGTGTACGGCCCGTGCAGGATGAATGTACGACCCGTGCAGGATGAGTGTACGACCCGTGCAGGATGAGTGTAGAGGGGCGGCCAATGCAATGGGTGGTTGACAACCGGGTTTCAGGGTCTAGGGCGACCGCGACCGTGTCCTGGGCTTTCTGCAAGGGCACGAACATTCATACATACATACCATACCGGTAACGCACAACCATTGCCCCCGGGAGATCCCGGGATAGAGACCTGTCAGGGTCGAAAAACCTTCCGATGGTGGAAGGTATTGCGCCCCTAGTTGATGGACGGTGGTGACCTGGGATAAAATTAGCCAGGAATGGAGTTCCGCTGCTGTCGACCCGGCCGGTTCCGTTGGATTCCGTTTCGCTACGGGTGGAGATTTACATTTCCCCTGTTTCACACATCATACCAGTTAACCTGTTAAGCTCCTGGGAGATAGGTGATGATGATGATGATGGTGATAACAGTGACAACACTTATCATGATCACGATAGTGTTGATGATGGTGGCGATATGATGCCAAGAACGATGCTAGACACATGCAGGACATGCCGGGGGGCCTGAGCTTCATTCTGATGTGGTGTGAAGACCGTTTTTTAATGGTCGCCAACATCAACACCACGTGGGTTTTTGATGTATGCGTCGGCCAATATGGGGGTGTAAGTGCAGGAGCTAACGTTACAAGTTGGCGGCGGCCTCATTACTGCGCTTGCTCCTGATGCTCCGCATATGACCCGTGGGTCGATGTCTTCAGGCGGTGTAGGGGGCCCTGGCCGCACCAAACAGCGTCTATGTGATTGCGCCTAGTGGCAAGCTGGGTGCGGTGCTGCGGAAGAAGCTGAGCTTTTGCCTCTGCCGTACTGCACTTGGTGACTTGCGATCTGTTAACAAACGACCTGATAGGTGTTGGGGACTATACAATCATCGTGATGAACACAACACATCGTCACATCGTATAAGGTGAGCTGAGCCAGTGAGGTTCAGTGGGGCGTCAGAGCTCATCGGAGCGTCCTGCAAGGCGAGACGCAGATGAGGCTGGCGGTTGGCGGTTGGGGGCATGGAAAGGCAGGCAGCTTTAAAAAACGTGTGACGTGAGCGCGACTTGGCGGCTGGGTGTTTTACCCCCCCCCCTCCTCCCCCCGCTGCGTGCATGAGCTTCTTGATGCCTTTTTCATGTTCACTGCTGTAGAAGCGCGACGACGATGACCTTACATTGAGTCCAAGACATAATAAAAGCAAACGCGTGAACATGTGTTGTGTTTAAGTTGTGAGGGCGCATGCCGGAGGAAACACACTACTTTGGGGACATACTGCGTTCAGAGTGATAATTCGGTTTAATTAGTTATTGCGCGTTAAGTTGTATGGCAGAAGCTCTTAAGACCGCAAAGGCGGATTGGGATAAAAGGCTGTATGGAAAAGCGATGGCGTCTCCATGCAATTGTTAGTTGTCAGGCCGTGGCGGAGGGCTGCACTTGCGAACTAAGCTGTCAACACGGTGATGTTGTACTTTTCGAGCGCTGGCGGTTTCCCTTGGCGAGTGAGTTTTGTCCGGATCGTTTCAGCTTTTTGTTTTTCCTTCCTTGGGGGTTTCCAAACTTGGCCCGGACCCGATTAGGTTCCTAATCAGGATACTGGCTGAGCGCCTGATTACGCTGTTGCTGAGGATGGGGCTGGCTGGGTACGAGGGTTTGCGGTGGAGGTAGGATTGGCCGCCGTTGGCCAGGCCAGGGCTCCAGATAGTCATCCAAGAGACGTCCAGCGAGCAGTAAAATTTGAATCAAATGGAGCGGGAAAAGGCCCACGCAGGTTATTGCTCTTTTGCTATTTTTATACGTTTCTAGACCGGTGCGGTTTGTCGATTTGCGTCTCGTCGTTTGCTGATATGGCGTTTTTCGCCAGATCAGTGACGAGTGACGGGAAGTGCGCTTAAAGACCTTTTGATAGCATTCCAGCACGTTGTGCGACCTGACTGCGACGGCGTTGTGCTGTGGTTTTTGCTACTGCGTCGTTTTGGCTGGTGTACGCAACTATTGCTTCGTTGGTTGTCCTGCGCTGTCTTGCGGCCCGTGGCGCTATGCTGTCCCAAATCGCAGTGCTATGTCCTGTTCGAGTGAGTGAAGACTCTAATCGGTGTTACGCGCCACCGTGCCTCGCCATGCCTTCATTTATTTTTAAACGTTGTGCAGTGCTGCTGTCGGGTGCTTTATGCTGTGTTGTATCTGCAGCGCTTTGCTGTGCTACATTCTATATTACGCGCCACGCTGGTCTTTTCATATGCGCTGTTATGCCGATCATCACTATGCTGTGCCGTGGCTGTGCTGTGCTTCGGGTGAATCCGTGCTGGCTCAGGCCGGCCCCCAGACGTGCAGCGTTCTGTTGTCTGGGTTTTTTCTAGTGGGTCGTGTTAGTTTGCCGCAATGTTGCTCCTCCTCTTGTGCTCGTGCTGTGCTGCGATGTGCTTTTTTGCTAACACCCGTTGCACTCTGCGAGGTGCATGTTGTCCTGTTTCCTCTGGTTTCAACGTTGCAACGCGGTATTCAACTTGCGGATTCACCACGGATGTGATGACGTGAACTTGCGCTGTGTACTGGCGCCATGTCTGTCTGTCTGCCTGTCCTTGTGGAGGACTCCATGATGTTAGAGGGGCGATAATGTGCACGCGTGTGGGCCGGCGTTCACCTGTTGGGGTTTCAATGCACGTTCAGTATGGGTGTACGGTAGTCAACCGTCCGGTAGTCAACCGTACATGTAGGACCGTACGTGTACAACCGTTCATTTATTCATTCTTATCGTCGTTTGCACCGCTTCTTGCCAAGTGTGGCAATCACTGGGATCTGAAGTTGTGGAGCAAAAGACGTGGTCGAGTTCCTCTGGAACCACTGTCCAACGGGAGACGTCCGTGGGGTGAAGTTTAGCGGCTTTTACATTCTCCAATAAAGAAACCCCTTCAATGTCAGCATTACTGGTGAACTCGACAGGCTGCGGTGTGAGGGCGATGAGGTGCTACTTGCGGGCGATTTTAATGCCCGTACAGCGACTGCTCCAGATCTGCCCGAAACGCTCAGTGCAGGGATGCACCCCCTCCCAGGCATCACACGCGCGAATAGGAATGCCGGCATCAATTCTTTCCTGCGGCGGTTGCCACAGATGTGGCATGACACTGGAACCGCAATTGTGAATGGGCGGGTGCCCGGAGACAGGTATGGAGCCCATACTTTCTCTAACTCTGTTGAGGGGCATAGTTCTATCAAACTATGTATTGCATCTTATGGGCTCTTTGAGCACCTAGACACCCTCAAAGTCCTGAATTCTTTTTTGTGGGTTGAGTTGAACGTGTTGAGCAATCATCATCCACTCATCCTCCGCCTGCACACAGCCCCGAGGCTCTGGATTGCATGAAGACGCTGGCCTACCCGGGCATGTGGGCGCATCCCTATCTTCGATGTTTCGTGTAAAGGATGCGTTACTGACCTTTTCCGTGACCCGGATGGTTACACTGCCACGACAATCAGCTTGCTGGAGCAAAGGCTCAGGGAAGGAGGAACCCTATGGTGCAGGAGCAGCTCGTGTATATGCAGGAGCCCGACTATGGTTTCGCGCGAGCTGTCACAAAGGCCGCTCCAGTTCCATTGGGCCAACCTTGTGCTAAGGTTCTGGAACACGGTTGTCAAGAGGCTGGGGACGCTGTGCCACCGGGCCTTCATTGCCGACCTTGAGCTGGCTCTGGGGGGTGTTACTGAGTGCTGGATGGGCAAGGACCTGGCTTTCCTTAAGAGTTTGGGAGCTGAGCCCCCAGCCGGCCTGCGAGGTGACGACCTCATAGCGCATTACGCCACCGTTAGGTTGCCAGTGGGAAGCATACTCAAAGAGTTCGCTAGGCGGCTCGACGCCTGGTGGGAGTGCCTAGATACCCTAGGCGACCCACGCACCTTCCCAAGTGGAAGTACCGGCATCAAGGCATGTCGCTATCTAAACTGCATGGGGGCGCCCCCACATAGGGGCACGCGGCATAAGTGGTTGGCCCACGCTGAAATCGCCATGCCCCAGCGTTTGCATCAAATGCTCATGCGTTTCCGGTTAGTCTGGACGGAAGAAGAACTACTGCCCGTTCAAAAGGAAAGGTGGAACGTGTGCACATGCATTTCCGGTTAGTCTGTTGGGAGTTGGAGATTAACCGACCTAATGGCCGTGAGCGCACAGCGTGCACCTGCAGGCTTTGTGATTGCGGGGCGAAATGCATGTCTTTGTGGAATGCCCGGTGTACACTAGTACAAGGGCTAAGTACAAACGTGACCTCGTGTTTCAAAGGTGCAACATGCGCACGATTATGACCAAGGCCCCACCCCTGGCGCTAGCCAGGTTACAGGGTTCTTCACCAGGGTACCCAAAAATTTCGGCCGTGTCCGAAATCCTCTGAATAATCTTTCGGGGCCCTCCCCGAAAATTTTCCTGTCAGCCAGAGAGTGTTTTCGGGTACCCCGAAACTGTCTGAAGCGGTTTTCGGGGTACAAATTAGCTGGATTCTATCGTTATATGCTAGGGCGGCTGAACTAACAGATGTTTTGATTTTATTTTGGAACATAGCGCCTGGGAGAAATATTTCAGCAAGGATTTTACCCAAAACCAAGGAGGCGTCGCTCCTCATCCATCTCTGCAGCAATCGCCTCCACCACACCTGCCACATCATCATCTGTCTCCTCAGACGGGTACACCTCATCACTTGCCACACTCTCGACCTCCTCGTTATCAGAAGGATAATAGGCCTCAGCAATTTCACTGCCCACACTGCCCTCATCATCACTCTCATCAGGCAGAACACAGTCGCCCACCTTGGCAATACGGTGCAGGAGCCCATCCGGGTTCTTTGCAACATACTCCTCAGCAGCTTTAATCATAAGGGGTTTGCATTTCATATCCACGGTTGGACCGAGTAATCCAACACGCAGAAGGGAATCAATGGACGGGACAGACAGCCGGTTACGCAGCCTGTTCTTGATAATGCGGTGGACACTGAAGCCACGCTCAACACACGCTGTTTGAGTGGGAAGGACACAAGCGACATACACCAACTGAATCAAGCGTGGAAAGAAGTGGACCCACTGACGCATTCCAGCCCAGGCCCGCTCCCAGGAGGTGCGGCCCAGCTCCAACTGCAAGGCCATCTTAGACTTCATAACTGAAAACTCTTCCTGCAAAATGTCAAGTTCGCTGACATCGAAGGCAAACAGGCGGTTAGAGCTTGCCGAGTGGCAAAAGTGTGCTAGCAACTTCACGAACTCCTTACGACCATAGCCACGCCGCTCTTCCGCAGACATCCTCACATATGTAGCAGGATCAAAATTACGAAAGCACTTCAGAAGCGTCTTAGACCACTCTCCCTCCCAGACTAAGCTCAGTGTCTCCAAAACGTGCATCCAAATGCTTCAAAATTAAACCCACAAACCGACAAGCAACCGACAGCTGCTGACAAATGCTACAGCCACCAATCGCGTGGCCTTGCTTATTTTTGCCGGTTTGCTGCCACCAGGGATACTTCTCCGCAAAGGCTGCCTGCCCAATGTCAGAGACAGACGCCTTCGGTAGCTTGCCTGACAAGTCGACCACCTCAGGTGCAGCCTGAGCAGGCGGGGGTTGAGCCATCATTGGCTGCCCAGGTGCTGCTGCAGTGTATAACAGCGATTGCTGGTTAGTTTTCTGACTACATTTTTCATAACAACGATGCAAGACTGTCGGTCGACAAAACGTTTGAAATTTGCAGCGACCTTATCGAAACTTACAGTAAATGTTCACTGAAATATGTTCAGCAGCTTTGCCATTAGCAGCAGGAGTAGAAGTGACTGGGGATTTCTCTGCATAGTACGAAAACTGCCCCTAGGTAAGAGCAGTCACACGAGCCGCGGTACCCTCCATCGCTGAGGGAATCGAACCCACAACAGCCACCAAGTGTCGGATGAAAATAAGTTCATCCTATCCAGGCCCAGCACATCCTTCACCGCCGCCATCTCCATGCACATCACCCCCGCAATGCCTGTACCTCTGGCGCAACCCCAACCGTGTGTGGGGCCCTTCCTTTGACAGCACCACCGGGCCCATGTTGTGTACACATCCTAAAACGTTTGCAAGCTGTGGCAGATCTCACCAGTACTGCTCAGCAGTAGCAGTAGCAACAACGCTTGCAACGAAATACCTACCTTCCGCGACCGGCACCTGCTCTTCGAGGACGACCTGCACAATGGGGAAGGGAGAGGGGAAAAGCAGAAGCGAGCTCATGCGCTTGCAACTAAGTGCTCACCATGGCTGCCACCGCAGCCGTTTCAGGTGTATGAATGCGAGAAAGAGGATCAGCAACATTCTTGCAGCCCGGCCGGTACTACCACGTGTAGTGGAAGCGGCTCAGGAACTCTTGCCGCCGTGCTTGGCGTCGGGACAGGTCCTCCTTGGTTTCAAACCAGATTTCGGGTGGTGGTCGGTGACCATCATGAAGGTATCCTGTGCGGTCTCAAGGTACGGCCGCCACTCTTGTAGGGCATTGAGTACACAGAAGCTCTTGCTCTGTGGTAGTGTAGTTGACTTCAGCAGGTGTGAACTTCTTGCTGGTGTAGGCGACGGGGTGGCCATCCTGCAGCATTGCACCGCCTGTGCCTTAAATGCTGGCGTCGGTTACTACTTTAAGGGTTTGGTAAGGTCAGGAAGGCGCAACAAGGGACGTTGACGAGGGCGTTTAATTTTTAATGCCATCGAATCCTGCTGGTGCATATTCTTCCATTCGGGTCAGCCGTTTGCTGCCGGGGAGGGTCGTGAGTGGAGTCGCTAGCGACGAGTACCCTTGGAGGAGCTTGTGGAAGTAGTTCGCAAGGCCCAGGGAAACGGCATCGATTTTTCGGGGATCCACCTTAAGTCTATCGTGACCAACGATGTGGCCTAGGAAGTTGACTTTGGGCTTGTTCATCTCGCACTCTTCACGCTTTGCACGGAAACACGCCCCTTTGAGGTATTCGAGTACGGCACATGTGCTCAAGGTGGCTGGTCGGATCTTTTCTGAAGATAAAAAGGATATGTCTAGGTAGACAACCCAGTAACCAGCGTCGATGTGCTTTTTGGGCGGGTCCAGTTTCGGTCCGATCCCTGAGTCGCGCGAGAAATCGCCCATCTTCATACGCGAGCGCATACGTGATTCGGTTTTCCGCACTTGTCATATCCGGCACGTAAGTGTAAATGCATTGGAGTGGCATGCGGCATATATGGCTTCGCCTGCCTCAGCAACGCCTTGCACATGGCCTCACACAAAAGGAAATGCCAAATCTTCTTTTCGGCCTAGTACAGAAATGCCTTCGCCTGTCAAGGAGGTCTCAGTGGTATCCTTGTTGTCGCCCTCGCCTGCTTCACTGTAGGCTTCTTCTCAAACACGCACGCTGGGCCCTATGCCCAACGGTGTCGCGATATAGTTGACATTCAGTAAGCTCTCGAGTGGTAAATCTGTGTACTGAGAGTTCCGGACTGAATGCTAAAGTGCGACCGATAATGAAAGCCCTTATGCATTAGAACGTTTTAGAACGTTTTTTTTTACGTTTACGTTTACAAGCTTCAAGCTTGTACTGTCCAGACGAGCCAAAGGGCTCATGAACCGCCAAACTGGAAAGAAGAACTCAAAAAGAAAAATGCCAATACCCAACAATAACAGATTGATTAATCTTCAACGTACTGCAACCTGCATCTTCTAATGTCGTCCAGGACGTGCGCTAACCCGCGTTGATCCTTGACACCCATAATCTCGATCATGCGGTCCCCAGGAGTAACCCCCAGGTCCCAAAGCTTCAAACGGATATTCGCATACGCAGGACAATCTAGCAGCACATGCATTAGGGTTAAAAGGGTGGAAAGATGCAAGTTACAACGAAAACCTGTTGTACTTTTAGTACTTTAGTAAAGGGCCGTCCCTAGTAGGCCACTAAAAATCATTAAAAGGCCATGGTTTCCATGGACCTTATTTTTCCTTTTAGGGGAAAGAGGCACTAAAAGGTGGCACCAAAAGCCAAGGGAAACAGGCCCAAAGCCTTTCAGATGTTCACGTGGTACATACTGTCAGATCCTGTCCTCTAGGTGATGTCTTTCAAAGCTTTTTGACTGAGTCTCCAAGCTTAGCTGTAATATAGCAAAGTCGTAACCTGGGATGCTCAGATGGGCGTGGCGTCACCACATAAGCAGAGTGTCAAATCCTCACACTACGCGTATGTAGGCTTGCCCACCTGAAGAATTGTCTAACTGTGTTGTGGGTGGGGGTGGGGGTGCTGCAGCCTATGTTGCGACGGGACTTGGCTGATGATACATGGTACGCGCACAGTGAGTTGAATGAGGTGCGATTACCGATGGGATGCTTACAAGGAGCAAAGCGAACTGATGAGTTGTGCTGGTGTAATAAACTTCACACTATAAAAACGTTCGTCGTCTTGTACCTGGTTTGTGCCTTGGTGGCCGAAAGGCCGACTTCTTCGCCTGGTTTGCCTGGGATGTATTCGGGTAATCCTGGGATGCGTTCACAAAAGCCTGAGCCTTGTTGTCCGAAAAGACAAACACGGCAAAACAAGCAACATAAACCTTTGCATCCGGTAGCTTCTTCCAAAACTTCTCCACCACGCGACCTGCAGGATACACAGCGGAGGTTCTGACCAGCTATAGCCGAACGTTTGGGTGTACTACTTATGAAGCAACCACACCCAATTGTGCAACCTCCTCCCTCCGTTTCCAAAGCGCCCACCAAGCGGCCCATGACGCTAATGCAGCTATGGACAACATGTAGCTGTAGAGGCCAGCCGATGAGGACCGTTGAAAGTACCAGCACTGTTTGCGGGGCAAGCAACTTCACCTAATGTACCTGAAAGCCCAGTTTCAACATGCCCTATGGCATAAACATGCCGGTTACCGACCGTTTGGGGCCCATTAACCCAACCGGCCAGTTGAATGGCGTTAACGGCCCGGTTGGGTTAACGGTCGGTTGGGTTAATGGCCAGTTGGGTTAACGGTCGGTTGGGTTAATGGTCAGTTGGGTTAATGGTCGGTCTGGACTGTGTGTAAGAACTTGCTTGAATTGTTACAGCTACCCAGTCCAGGTATTCATCCTACCTAGCACCCTGCCTGCATGCCTACACACCTGGGACAGTACTGTTATCACTGCCTCCCACATCATCTTGGCACCATGCCCTTAAGCATATTCATACCTAAATTTATCCTTGTCATACTTAATGTGTGCACAGCACTGTCACCCGTGTCACCTGGCATTCACCTTGACTGCACAAGGCCATGTGTGCACACACCTGTCACCTGGAATCTGCATAAACCTGCCTGTGCAAGGCTGTCACCTCTGTCACAAGCCTGCACGCATTGTTGTCACCCCTGTCACCCACCATCCACAACAGCCATCACGCAATGTTGTCACCCCTCTCACCCGGCCTTTCAATGTATTCTGGGCCCAGAAGCCCCACTCTCAAGCCTGCACGCATTATTGTCACCCCTGTCACCCGGCATTTCAATTGTTGCCCATAAGCATGAACCAGGCCACCAACTCACAAGCTTACATGCAACAACTAAAACCAGGCAATACTAGCTACGCAAGCTATGCTAGGACAAACTTTCAAGACGACCAGAGCAGCATGAGAGCGGACGAGCTTTTGTGCTAGCAGGGTCAGCCATGAGACATGCCATAGGATCCGATGTGGTGTAGCCTCGCAGAACTTCTGCTCCAATGCCGACTGTGCATGAAGCGATCGCTGCAGTCAACGGAGAGACTGAGGCCTCGATAGCTCCCATACTCCAAGTTCTTGAAAGGGAGGGTTATGATGTGAACACTGAGGCAGGAGGCGCATTTCGTCGTCTCAACGTAAATGACCTGCAATCACAACTTAACCTCCGGCAACACAACACCCTGAAAGAGGCAATCGAAACAGGCATGCATCGACAAACTTAGCTGCTTGTGGAAGCTCAGCGCATTCCTAGACTGGGTTGGGAGTTTCTCAGGTTTGTCATTTTGCTGCGGCTGGGCCTGTGACTGGGCTCGCGATGAGCACTTGTAACGACGCAAATGCCAATCTGAGCATCCCGGGTTACGCCTTTGCTGTGTTACAATGGTATCGAGACGGGACCGCACGAATACCGAAATAAACTTCGGGTCGGCGGTTCGATTCTAGCAACCAGCAAGTCGCAAATTGGCGATTTCATGGTGTAATGGATAAACCAGCGCACTGGCGCGAGGTGGGATGGCTCCTGTGCTCGAAATAATGGCCGAGGACGTCCATTGCTAAGTGGGGGGCAATGTAACGACGCAAATGCCAATCTGAGCATCCCGGGTTACGCCTTTGCTGTGTTACAGCACTGCTGTTTGCTTGTTTGTGTTCGCGATAGAAACACCCGCTGTACATAGGAACAATACTTGTTATTCGACTGTTGTAGTGTATGTCTTGAGTGACACACAGCTGACGCCTTTCCTTCTTCTTGGAGGGGAGGTACACCCAGACAGGTGCACCTGCATGAGGTGCAAAACATTTTGCTGGGGGAAAAACAACACAGGGGTTATATTTCCTTGGTACATGCACACATGCTGACTCTTTTTAGTCATATTGCATTTTTAGGGTATTTCCTGGGCTCCCATGACTCAGTAATGACGAGGGGTATGTCATCGTTACTACATCACCTCACATAGCATATGAACTCAACTCACACACTAATCAAGCCATGTCTACACAACCTTGAATGATTGCTTAAAAATGTCGTTGACTGACTGTGTCTGCCGAGCCTCGAGGCCAGCGGCTTTGGTTTTGTGAAGGGGTCCGTTCGGCTTTCACAGTACCAGCTGCTAGCACCTGACAGATTGTATATGGCGCCCATTTCACTGCAGAGGTGGCCCCCGAAACCTTGATGCGAAACCTTGATGCAGTCGACTTTGCACCGCTTCACAACTGCTGGAGACTTCCTCACCAACTATCAACCATCCCGGCTGGAGCTGCTGCCGTGCACCTCAGCACAGATGATGGGCGTGAAATGCAAGGGGCCGTCAGCTGTTGCACACTGGCACACTTTCAATGATGAGTGCCGGGCGCTGCTGTGCGTGCTGCCAGATGGCGGCCCAACACCAACTTCTGCGGCTGTGGGCAACGAGGACAACCTGCATCTTGAGCTGTTCACGCACATCCTTCGGCCGCTGCAGCAGGCCTTGTCACGCACAGACGGTTTCTTTGGAGCCGCTCGTGCAATGCAAGGCATGACAAAGGGCATCTGGACAAACAAGTCAGGTGCGGGTTCATCTTCTTGTAACATGCTGGTTGGGCCATGGAGACAGAAGAACATACCACGCATGCTGCTGTAGGTAGATACATCCTTTCTTCGCACGCAATGCACCGATGGGATTGGTGTTGGCCTAAGAACACATGTATTTGTATTTCGTGTCACCACTACAGCATGTGCAGATTTTATGCTGCAGTCCTGCATCAACTCAGAGCTGCTGGTGGCAATCGAGGTGAAGAAGTCGGCCGTCATCTGTGTGCCGCAAAGCAGCAGCCTGCCAGCTATGTACACCTCAGGTTAGCGAGTCTTTTAGCATTTATCTCTGTCATTAGGGCG